AGTAGTCTCAACAGAGTACAGACCGACCATCCAATTCCTCTATACCCTAAAGACAGACACAACATGCTGAGCTGGGCACTCTCTCCCCTCCCTCCCTCTCTCTGCAGCCGAGTCGGTATCCAAAGGGCGGCAGGGTCACCACCTTTAGCTGACCTCTGATCCCAATGACCCAGCAGACACGGTACGGCGAGGCTGTGCTGCGGATAACCACAGTGCATGGGGGGGGACATGGGGGGGGGGCGTAACTCACACCGTGAGATACCTATTACCTAGACTGTACTGTAGAGTTAGGAGTTGAAGCCTGGAGGAGTTAGTATAGACAGCCGGGATAGATTCAAGACAAAATAATAAATGCTAAATCCTAAATCTGCTAAATTGGTAAAGTTCAGTTAAAACTGCTAAATCAATTACCTACTGTTCTTCTACGTCGGACTTGGAACCGTATTCACTATTTTATAACTGCCTAGCAGGACTTGGAAATAAAACCTACGTAACAATGAAAATATTTGATCTCATCATACATGGCAGTCTTCAAAGCAGCAGACTCGTCAGATAAATCAACTCCATTTCAATCAGCCATTATTGGACATCAATTACAGGAACCGGCTTCCCGTGTCTCCCTGATACTACACAATCTCCCATCTACCCAGTGTGGTGTGTGCCTTCCCCAGGGTATCTCCCTAACTTCCCGGCGTCTTACCAGCGGCAAGCCGTCTCTCCATCTCTCTCTCTCTCTCTCTCTCTCTCTCTCTCTCTCTCTCTCTCTCTCTCTCTCTCTCTCTCTCTCTCTCTCTCTCTCTCTCTCTCTCTCTCTCTCTCTCTCTCTCTCTCTCTCTCTCTCTCTCTCTCTCTCTCTCTCTCTCTCTCTCTCTCTCTCTCTCTCTCTCTCTCTCTCTCTCTCTCTCTCTCTCTCTCTCTCTCTCTCTCTCTCTCTCTCTCTCTCTCTCTCTCTCTCTCTCTCTCTCTCTCTCTCTCTCTCTCTCTCTCTCTCTCTCTCTCTCTCTCTCTCTCTCTCTCTCTCTCTCTCTCTCTCTCTCTCTCTCTCTCTCTCTCTCTCTCTCTCTCTCTCTCTCTCTCTCTCTCTCTCTCTCTCTCTCTCTCTCTCTCTCTCTCTCTCTCTCTCTCTCTCTCTCTCTCTCTCTCTCTCTCTCTCTCTCTCTCTCTCTCTCTCTCTCTCTCTCTCTCTCTCTCTCTCTCTCTCTCTCTCTCTCTCTCTCTCTCTCTCTCTCTCTCTCTCTCTCTCTCTCTCTCTCTCTCTCTCTCTCTCTCTCTCTCTCTCTCTCTCTCTCTCTCTCTCTCTCTCTCTCTCTCTCTCTCTCTCTCTCTCTCTCTCTCTCTCTCTCTCTCTCTCTCTCTCTCTCTCTCAGGCGTCCCGCCGCCCCATCTTCCCCCGTGTGTCGGCGCACTGTGCGATGTTTGCTCCCAGAAGTGGCCATTATTTGCTCCTCTCGGCGCCGACCAGTCGGGGAACACATTACACCGGCTCCGCGGCGCGGCGCACCATGGGGACAGGTGGGGCCCACTGAGACAGGCGGGACTGTGGGACAGGTAAAGAACCCAGGTGGGACAGGTATAGACGACCACCGGCGGACGGTCAATAAATAGACGGCAAGGGAAAGTGGGGGTACAGACAGCAGGGGTCAGCTGGTAACGGCTGTAAAACAGCCGAAAAGCCGGCTGGAAGGCACGCACTGTGGAGTTAGCAGTCCAGGGATGGGTGAAAACTTCTGGATGGCTATCCATCCAGAAGTCCTAGGATTTGTGGCTGTATTAGCGGATTCCACGAAACTGGTGTGCGACCGGCGCGGCGCCGGGATCCAGTTTTGGACTCCGTACCCAGTACTCCGCGGACTCCGTGACTCCCTACTACTGACTCGTGACTCATGACTGAGCCCTGCATCACGCGTCTCTCACCCTCTCCCTCTCTCTCTCTCTCTCTCTTCCTCCCCTCCCTCTCTCTACCCCTCCCTCTCCCCCTCCATCCCTTCCCGTCTCTCTCTCTCTCTCTCTCTCTCTCTCTCTCTCTCTCTCTCTCTCTCTCTCTCTCTCTCTCTCTCTCTCTCTCTCTCTCTCTCTCTCTCCCTCCCTCTCCCGGACGTCTCTCTCCGTACAGAGACAGACGCCAGGCGTCCGTCTCTGTACACACACACGGACTAGACGGCGCCGGGCCTATTTACCGTGGCGGGCAGGTGCACAGGTCAACTAATCGGCGCACGTGGCCCGCCCGGGTGTGGACTGGGAGCCGACTGAGAAAGACTAGGGAGCAGAGGAATCGTCCAAACCCGACGCACTTTGTATTTACGGTCATAATAGGTCACGTCTTTAATGCTCGCTTACCACGTACCTCTACCTATTTTACTAAATGTGTTTTAGGTATGTCAGTTAAGCTAATAGGTTCCTGTCATATTGAGCATAACTGGGCGTAGTAAAACTGTACAAAGCATTACAAGATTACTGGCAGTCATGAATGCCTATTATTGGCTACCTAACTGCAATAAAACTTTCATAACATTTGCAGCATTATTGAGTCCTACTGTCGAACAGAACGGGGACACGACTGGACTGGGACTGGACTGGACTAGGACTGGGACTGGGACTGGACTGGGGTAGGACGTACTGGGACTGGGACTGGGACTGGACTGGACTGGGACTGGGACTGGACTGGGACTGGGACAGTGACTGGACTGGGACTGGACTGGGACTGGGACTGGGACTGGGGCTGGGATTGGACTGGGGCAGGGACTATGGCAGGGCGGACTGGGTCACGGCGGGACGAGCAGGAGACACTACTCGTCGCCTACGGGTGCTATTGAAAGGTTCATCTTTATTGTCACATTTTAACACGACTCGGACTTCCCTCATAGGGGAGAGTGGGGCAATGGCGGACGGTGGGTAATGCCGGCCACCCATCTCTAGTGAGTACTTTGTCCATCACTAATCAGCTGATGTTGTTTACATTTCAGTTGAGCGCCATTCTAGCACGTGGTGCAAGTTTGTCACGGTAGCTCCATTATTTTCATTTTTATAGCGTTAAATGTGTTTTTCGTATCTGATTTTTAATTTTTGTTGCATCTATTTGCTGACTGTGAAATGTGTTAACGCATTTTCAGAAGTGCTGCTTTGCAATGACCTTCAATTAAGCCTTTTTTAGGCGACTGCTGGATGTGAGGCGTTTGCGGCGCAATGCATTTGACTGCTGCCTGCTTTCTTAAAATAAAGCTGACCTCGGGGTAATACCGGACACGTGTCCGGAATGACTCCACGCGGTTTTGTTTGTGCCACTTCTGTCGTTAAAGCTCAACGTTTCGGGTTGCTGTGTTTACGGCTGTGTTAGTTTGCTTGCTGTGTTTACGGTTGTGTTAGTTTGCTGCTCTGTTGGCGCCGCGCTGTTGTGTTGCAGCGAGTGCAGTGTTGTGTTGCAGTGCAGTGTACTGTTAACTGCTGAATACAGTTGTCGTTTGTTAATTCTCACTTAAATTTCCATCGAAAGAACGGTGTAAGGATGAATACCAGTGACGATATTTCGACTTTTTGTGCTATTGCACTTAGTGGCCGGCATTACCCCTCGCTTTTTTGCACCTCCATTTTTCACCACATTTTCGCGTAGGCTCTGAATCTGTCATAAGTGATCTGAGATACTAAAACTGGGTGCTATCTGAAAGCCTATTCCTTTGGCTATAACCACAATCAAAATCACCATAAAATAGCTTCAAATAGCTAAGCTATTGAGCAAAATGCTTATGGTGTCGCCATTGCCCCACTCTCCCCTATTTCCCTCATCTTCCGCGCGATGCAACCCTCGCATGCGTGCGGCGTTTGCCAGTTTCTGACGTACAGAATTAACTGCTGGTTCAAAACTACACAACATCAAATATCTAACTGCATCAATAAATGAAAGATCATGCACAAATGTCATTATTAGAGCTAATCTAGTGATTATCGCTGTTTCTCACCATGGCAGTGTGTGTGTGTTTTCTTACCTTTATTGGGCAGAATGGCGTGAACAGCCGTGCTCGCCGTCCGAGACTGGGCATCTTCTCCAGCGAGCTGTCGGTAAAAGTCCAACAGGTACTTGGGTAGCCTGACATCTGACCTGACCTCTCCGGATGACCCGACCTCTCCAGCTGTCACCGGCCCGGACACCGCCCAGCATAAGGTCACCGCCGCCAACAGCGGCCAATTCCGCCAAACCCCCATCGTATTTCGGCACTGAATAAAGAGCCAGTTTCACATGTCCGATTTCATTCAGGAGACCACGTGATGGTCACTGTGGTAGCGCAATGTGGTCACGTGATGACAGATGTGTGATTGGCAGCGCACCACTGAAGCCCAATGAGGTGGTCTGGACGCGATAATAAGCTCAGAGGAGGAGCTACAAGAGCCCTCACCCTCTCAACTCCAAGACACGGACTGGATCGCGCCCTGCACCGCCGAGAGCGGCGCGCGGAACTGACGATACTAGCGACACGTGGTGGCCAGTCACGGAACTGCGGCTGACACAGATGGTAGCGCCGCGTAGTGGCAAATGCAGTAACTAAAGCTTTCATTGTCAGAGCTGTAGGTGACGCAGCCACCTTCATACAATCGTGATCATCCAATCATCGAATCATTTGGTCATCCATCATCGAATCATGTTTCATTCAATCGTCTTCACGTTACTGGAGGATTGGACGATCACGTGATCAAATGATGTAGTGGTCATGTGACTAGATGATTGGACGATCGACTAGATTGGATGTTCGGATAACATAACCACAAGTGATTAGAATTAGATGGTGATGTGACTGGATGATTAGAAGACGGGGCTGACTGGGTGGTCGCCTGATCACGTGATGACACAACCGCATAATTGGATGATTACGTGACTGTGTGACCTGGCGATCACGTGATTGGGCGGTGCCGTGATTGGACGACTGTTTTCGTCCGCGTTGCGACTGCGTCCTATTTTTAATTCCGCGGCGTTCATGGTACACCGTTTACATGTAAAACACACAGACCCCTCGCGCCATTAGAGTGATGTATTGAGACCGCGGCTCCGTTTAGTACATCAATCGGTGCCCGACACGGCGCCGGTCTCTGGATGGACCAATGGTCCCGGACCGGACCACCGCGCCGAACCCTGGTCTGACCCTCGGACCAAACATGGGACCAGACCAGACCATTGGACCAGCTGCCTTGTGGGACCAGCGGTCAGCTACCTGTTTCCGAGGTATGTATCGCCCGACAGACAGAGGGGTACAATTACCCCCCCCCCCCCCCCACTCACACCACCGAACAGCTGTTGAGAGCCTCACCCTACTCCAGTTCGGACTCTGCATTCCGAACACAGGTCAGCACTAAGGCTGAGTTAAGTACCCGAGCGCTAAGTACAGCTTGGGGCGGAAAGTTTAAAACAGACGGACGGTAATTGACTTATAACGAGTCTTGGTTCAGCGGATTTCAGCAGCTATGCGGTCGTTTACTATGTACGATCAGTCTGCGTTGGCTCGTTATACCGCACAACTAGCTCTCCTGATTAAGGCTCCAGTGAGATGTGATTTCGAGCACTGACAGACGCATCCAGCGGGGGAAGATACAGAGCGTGATATACCGGGAGAGCGAAAACACCACGAAACAGCTTAAGGAAACAGCTGAACGGCAGACGACGTAGCCCGAGACCCACGCACAATAATTTACCTACCACCTCCCCGCAGCCGAGTCGCCCAGATCAGATGTATGACGTCACAGTTCGGACCGGCCACCAATCAGCGTCAGTGACGTCACCACCCTACGACACGGGGAGTGACGTCACTGCAAGACACGGCTCTTACGTCACAGGTGGCGCGGGTGACGTCACAGCTGCGGGTGATGCCGACGCGCTGAGTGACGTCACTCAGCTCTATGTCGGCTGACGTCACAGGTGAGTATGACGTCATCGTCAGTAGGGCTCTGCCGGCGGTTAGCTGGCCTTGGCTGCCAGAAAGTGGACTTTGTTGACTGAAACAACGGGGAAGAACAGAGCACGGGTCAGGCCAGCAGGTCAGGTCAGGTCAGGTCAGACCGGGCACAACGGCGGCATATCAGGCCGGCCGAGCAGCTATCATTCAGTCACACGGACTATTCCATCGGCTGTCACCCGGATCATCGAATGATCAACGTCTCACGATCATGCATCCGATTACGGTAGTCACGGATCGGCGCGGCGCTCCCCACTCAGTGGCGGCACCTATAGCAGTGACTTGCAAGCTTTAGTTCTCTTGTTTACCACTGTGGCGCTAGTATCGCCCCAAGAACCCGGTCGGCTACTTCTAACACCTAGGCGGCGCTAGTGTCGGGGTTTCACTTTTCAGAGTTGATTTGGCGCTCAGCGGGGCTGGGCCTAGTGCTCCGCCGCCGAGAAATTAGATCTGTCTGACGTGGGCCGACCCGATTACACGCCGCACATGCCACAACAAGCAGCGGTACAGTTTAGTCCTGAGTCAGTCTGTCCCCGTGCACTGCCCGTCGGCTTTCCCCTCAGACTGTCTGTCCCCCGTATAGAGTCCCCTGTATCCGCGACCCCAAAATAACCCCCGCTATAACTAAATATCAGGAGGTTGGGGGTTACTACTACTATGGCAGTCGCCATAATCAATATACTAGTATTTCATCCCCCCCCCCACATACACACAAATAAACCTCTATAGCTGACCGTAATTGGCCCCGTACGAGGCTATATGGGTGCGATATAGCCTCGTTGCTGGTGCGCCCTTAAACAACAAATCATCATCATCATCATCATCATCATCTCCCCGTGACCGGGGCCGGTGTGCAGTGAAGGTAGAAGCCTTCGGTACCCCGTCCCCGTCCCAGTCAAGGTAGAAGGAGCCCCCGTCCCCTGCCCCTCCCCAATCACCAACTGGTCATGGTCCTGTCCAGACCTCTGTCCCTGCCCCTCGCTCCCTATCCCCCCCCCCTGACCACTGGCGCCGTCCAGTGCGGCGGGCGGGTGCAGGGACAGTACCAGCCCCCCCCCCCCCACTGACCACTGGAGCCGTCCAGCGCGGCGGGCGGGTGCAGGGACAGTACCACTCCCCCCTCCCCCCACTGACCGTTGGCGCCATCCAGCGCGGCGGGCGGGTGCAGTGAGGGCGCCGCGGCCAGCAGGGCCTCGGCCTCGGCCACAGTCAGCTTCATCTGCGCCGAGTCCACAGTCACTGCGTGGGTGTCCAGTCCGTGGGCGTCCGCCTTCCCGGAGACGAGCTCCCGCCAGTGGCCGGCCGTCTCAGAAATGACGCCGTGAGCAAAATCCCGGTCCTTAGCCGCGCCAGAGAACGCGAACTGCGGGAGGGAGGGGGGGTGTGTCAGAGAACGCGAACTGCGGGCGGGGTGTGTGTCAGAGAACTGAACTGGGGCGGGGTGTGTGTCAGAGAACTGAACTGGGGCGGGGTGTGTGTCAGAGAACTGAACTGGGGCGGGGTGTGTGTCAGAGAACTGAACTGGGGCGGGGTGTGTGTCAGAGAACTGAACTGGGGCGGGGTGTGTGTCAGAGAACTGAACTGGGGCGGGGTGTGTGTCAGAGAACTGAACTGCGGGCGGGGGGGGGGGTCAGAGAACTGAACTGGGGCGGGGTGTGTGTCAGAGAACTGAACTGAACTGGGACGGGGTGTGTGTCAGAGAACTGAACTGGGGCGGGGTGTGCGTCAGAGAACTGAACTGGGGCGGGGTGTGTGTCAGAGAACTGAACTGGGGCGGGGTGTGTGTCAGAGAACTGAACTGGGGCGGGGTGTGTGTCAGAGAACTGAACTGGGGCGGGGTGTGTGTCAGAGAACTGAACTGGGGCGGGGTGTGTGTCAGAGAACTGAACTGCGGGCGGGGGGGGGTGTCAGAGAACTGAACTGCGGGCGGGGGGTGTCAGAGAACTGAACTGGGGCGGGGTGTGTGTCAGAGAACTGAACTGAACTGGGACGGGGTGTGTGTCAGAGAACTGAACTGCGGGAGGGGGTGTGTGTCATAACTGAACTGGGGCAGGATGTGTGTCAGAGAACTGAACTGCGGCGGGGTGTGTGTCAGAGAACTGAACTGGGGCGGGGTGTGTGTCAGAGAACTGAACTGGGGCGGGGTGTATGTCAGAGAACTGAACTGGGGCGGGGTGTGTGTCAGAGAACTGAACTGGGGCGGGGTGTGTGTCAGAGAACTGAACTGGGGCGGGGTGTGTGTCAGAGAACTGAACTGGGACGGGGTGTGTCAGAGAAATGAACTGGGACGGGGTGTGTGTCAGAGAACTGAACTGGGGCGGGGTGTGTGTCAGAGAACTGAACTGGGGCGGGGTGTGTGTCAGAGAACTGAACTGGGGCGGGGTGTGTGTCAGAGAACTGAACTGGGGCGGGGTGTGTGTCAGAGAACTGAACTGGGGCGGGGTGTGTGTCAGAGAACTGAACTGGGACGGGGTGTGTGTCAGAGAACTGAACTGGGGCGGGGTGTGTGTCAGAGAACTGAACTGGGACGGGGTGTGTGTCAGAGAACTGAACTGGGGCGGGGTGTGTGTCAGAGAACTGAACTAAACTGGGGCGGGGGGGATTTATACACCGTGGACAATTAGCTGAGGAGGAGGAAGCATTTAAAGAAAAAAACGCGAGCTGGAGAGGTGACAATGTTATACACTGAGTACTAGCACTAACAGGGATTAGGGAAAAATAGTTTAAAAGGCGCTAAGACAATGTTATGCTGGGACCAGACGGTTGCAGCGCCACCTATCTTCTGCCTGCCCGCCACCTGGCGGCGACTTACGGAAGTTGTAATGTGCGGTCCGCTGCCGCCTTCAAGTCAAACACACGCAGACAGCTGAGCTGACGTAGGTTCTGAGCGGTTCGTCTCAGTACACCGTGCAGCAAATGACGACCGGAATGGACAGATATTACAATGGAGAGGGCAGCCGTTTGGCGCATCGAGAACGGCCTGCTGGTTCTCAGGATGGACTCGTACTCCGGGACAGTGTCTCCGGGATATACTGTCTCAGTGTCTGGCTGTGTCTCAGCCTGTACCCCCTCCGCGTCCTGACCTGCCTCAGTATGTCTCAGTCTCTGGCTGTGTCTCAGCCTGTATCCCTCCGCGCCCTGACCGTGGCTCAGTATGTCTCAGTGTCTCAGTGTCTCAGCCTGTATCCCCTCCGGGTCCTGACCGTGCCTCAGTATGTCTGAGTGTCTGGCTGTGTCTCAGCCTGTATCCCTCCGCGCCCTGACCGTGCCTCAGTATGTCTCAGTGTCTCACTGTGTCTCAGCCTGTATCCCCCCGCGCCCTGACCGTGCCTCACTGTCTCAGTGTCTGGCTGTGTCTCAGCCTGTATCCCTCCGCGTCCTGACCTGCCTCAGTATGTCTCAGTGTCTCAGCCTGTATCCCCCTCCGCGCCCTGACCGTGCCTCAGTATGTCTCAGTGTCTCACTGTGTCTCAGCCTGTATCCCCCCGCGCCCTGACCGTGCCTCACTGTCTCAGTGTCTCGCTGTGTCTCAGCTTGTGTCCCCCCCTCGCGTCCTGACCGTGCCTCAGTATGTCTCAGTGTGTCTCGCCCGTCGCTCCGGTGTATCCCCGCTCACCGCCTCACCTGGTTCTCCGGCTTTCCGTCGGGCACTTTATAAAGTCTGAACCACTCGACGGTGGCCTGCAGGTAGCCGGGAAGGTGCTTCTCCACGTCCGAGACGTCTGTACCGGGAGAACAGACAGGGGTCACGGGTCAGGACACATATTCAGACCGGATCTGGTCTGAACGGTCATACATACGTACATACATAGACAGTAGACACGTACAAATAGTCGCGGCATTACGGGGGATCGTGTCACATCAGGTAGGACCCTACTCATCTACTACGAGACATTTGGGCATGTGCACGTACAGGGGTCTACTATGTAGTCTACTATGTAGACCCACTGTATACCCCCGATGAACAACTGTGGTACACGTGTACGGTATATTGGCCCCCGTAGCGCTGACACTGAAACTCCGTACGTATATTGCAGCACACAGTCCCCTGGTTACCGTGGAGTTTGTCGGCCAGCGGGTCGTCCGTGTTGATGGCCAGCAGCTTCCAGTCGGTCTCGCCCTCGTCGATCATCGCCAGAACGCCGAGCACCTTCACCTGGATCACCTCGCCGCGGCGACAGACCTGTAACGTCACACAATGTTACACCTTCACCTGGATCACCTCGCCGCGGCGACACACCTGTAACGTCACATAATGTTACACCTTACACCTAAAGCCAGCGTTCCCCGCCCGGCCTGCGATGCACCCTCCCCGTTCTTGGCTGCCCAGCTCAGACAGTATCAGGTGGCGTCCCCTATAACAGACGGTGCCGCCCTCTATACCTTGCCGCCCAGCTCACAGGTGGCGTCCCCTATGACATACAGTGCTGCCCTCTATTATTCCGTGCTCTCCATACCTACGATCTTTTGCTTACGATCTTAGGTCGTACGATCTTTTGCGACATACGATCTTCATCTTACGATCATTTTCCTACGATCTTTTTCATACGATCAATTGCTTTACGATCTTTTGCTTACGATCTTTTGTCGTACGATCTTTTACAACATACGATCTTTATCTTACGATCATTTTCCTACGATCTTTTTCCATACGATCTTTTGTCTTACGATCTTTTGTCACGTAATCCCATACCTTGCCACCCAGCTCACAGGTAGCGTCCCCTATGAAATACAGTGCTGCCCTCTATATTCTCGTACTCCATACCTTGCCACCCAGCTCACAGGTAGCGACTAGTGATGTCAATTACGGAAAATCGTGATACCGATACCAAACAAAATACCAACAATATCCACGGAAAAAATACCGAAACCAAACCGACTTGGGAATGTGAGGAAAATACCAACTTTTTACCAAATCCTCAGCCTCTTTCACATTAGTGAGGAATCATAATACCAACAAAATACCAAATGCAGTCGCCTTGAAATACCAAATAACAAGTTGGTATCGGTTTGGTATCGGTATACCAAAAAGTTGGTATCCGATTGACATCTCTAGTAGCGTCCCCTATAACAGACAGTGCCGCCCTCTATATATCCGTGCTTCCCATACCTTGCCGCCCAGCTCACAGGTAGCGTCCCCTATAACAGACAGTGCCGCCCTCTATATTTCCGTGCTCCCCATACCTTGGTGCCGAGCTCGCAGACATCGATGGGGTCGTTATCTCCCTTACAGCCGGTGGATTCGTCCGTGGAGTGCGGGTTCTCCCAGGTCTGGAGACAAACAGCGGGCACATCGGGGGTCAGGTCATGGGGGGAGGAGGGGGTCAGGCCACGGGCGGGTTCTTCCAGGTCCAGAGACAAACACAACGGGCACATAGGGGGGGGGGGTCAGGTCACAGAATGAGGGAGGGAGCACACTGAATCATGCGGCAGCGCGGGCGGATTATCAAAATCGTAATCGCCACAATACCTTCGAAATTCACACTGCCCTACTGACCCGCGCGGCGGCAGGGCTCCGCAGTTCTCGATGTATCCGTGGTGGGGGAAGACGTTAGCGACATAGCGCAGCTTTCCCTTAATACTGACCGATACAGACCTGGGGCAGGGCTCCATAGTTCCAGATGTATCCGTGGTGGGGGAAGACGTTGGCGACATAGCGCAGCTTTCCCTTAATACTGACCGATACAGACCTGGGGCAGGGCTCCGTAGTTCCAGATGTATCCGTGGTGGGGGAAGACGTTGGCGACATAGCGCAGCTTTCCCTTAATACTGACCGATACAGACCTGGGGTAGGGCTCCGTAGTTCCAGATGTATCCGTGGTAGGGGAAGACGTTGGCGACATAGCGCAGCTTTCCCTTAATACTGACCGATACAGACCTGGGGCAGGGCTCCGTAGTTCCAGATGTATCCGTGGTGGGGGAAGACGTTAGCGACATAGCGCAGCTTTCCCTTAATACTGACCGATACAGACCTGGGGCAGGGCTCCGTAGTTCCAGATGTATCCGTGGTGGGGGAAGACGTTAGCGACATGGCGCAGCTTTCCCTTAACACTGACCGATACAGACCTGGGGCAGGGCTCCGTAGTTCCAGATGTATCCGTGGTGGGGGAAGACGTTAGCGACATAGCGCAGCTTTCCCCAATTACTGACCGATACAGACCTGGGGTAGAGCTCCGTAGTTCCAGATGTATCCGTGGTGGGGGAAGACGTTAGCGACATAGCGCAGCTTTCCCTTAATACTGACCGATACAGACCTGGGGCAGGGCTCCGCAGTTCCAGATGTATCCGTGGTGGGGGAAGACGTTAGCGACATACCGCAGCTTTCCCTTAATACTGACCGATACAGACCTGGGGCAGGGCTCCGTAGTTCCAGATGTATCCGTGGTGGGGGAAGACGTTAGCGACATACCGCAGCTTTCCCTTAATACTGACCGATACAGACCTGGGGCAGGGCTCCGTAGTTCCAGATGTATCCGTGGTGGGGGAAGACGTTAGCGACATAGCGCAGCTTTCCCTTAATACTGACCGATACCGACCTGGGGTAGGGCTCCGTAGTTCCAGATGTATCCGTGGTGGGGGAAGACGTTAGCGACATAGCGCAGCTTTCCCTTAATACTGACCGATACAGACCTGGGGCAGGGCTCCGTAGTTCCAGATGTATCCGTGGTGGGGGAAGACGTTAGCGACATAGCGCAGCTTTCCCTTAATACTGACCGATACAGACCTGGGGCAGGGCTCCGTAGTTCCAGATGTATCCGTGGTGGGGGAAGACGTTGGCGACATAGCGCAGCTTTCCCTTAATACTGACCGATACAGACCTGGGGCAGGGCTCCGTAGTTCCAGATGTATCCGTGGTGGGGGAAGACGTTAGCGACATAGCGCAGCTTTCCCTTAATACTGACCGATACAGACCTGGGGCAGGGCTCCGTAGTTCCAGATGTAGCCGTGGTGGGGGAAGACGTTAGCGACATAGCGCAGCTTTCCTTTCTTGGTGTCCTGTTTGATGGGGTTCAGCCGCTCACCGGTGGCGATCTGTGGACAACGACCAATCGGGTGAGACGTGCGGTGGGGATGGACCAATCAGAGGGGACGTGGGGTGGGCACGGACCAATCGGGTGAGACGTGCGGTGGGGATGGACCAATCAGATGGGATGTAGGGATGACAAGAACCTGGGTTCGAAACTCCCCCTGTCATTTGGTGCTGCAGCCAAACACACACTGTACATATACAAAATGTTAGGATTGCAGAGCGTTGACCAGTTTCCATTGTTTCCATACGTAACGATTGTTATGTTCCATGTATAAAATATATCGGGTAAATGCCGGTAGAAATACATCCATGACATTCACCAATGTTCCCATCAGCCCTGAGACACAGCCCTGGCCTGAAGTACCGTCCAATGCCCAATCCCATTCAAGGCTGCTCCGACACCTGTCCTCAAGGCCGGCTGCTAGTCTTCTCTCTCCCGTCTATAGAGACAAAATCCAACAACCGACACTGCGCGGCCGCCGTCCACCGGTCGTCAAAGACGATAGCGGCGATCGGGGTGCGCTAGCAAAGGCACAACCGGCACCCCAATGTCGTACTTTGGCTTGGGTGTCAGAGGGGAAATGGCTCTCCAAAAATGGGGATGAGAGTGGCGTATATTTCTGAACAAGTGTGGTGAAAATTAGAATGCATAACAACCAGCCACACAAATGCTTTTCTCAGTGAAATTGACGGTGGGAAAGTGCTCTTTAAATTGGAGGCGACAGCGAAAAATGGTTTTCATTTGGATATCGTTTCCTACCTAAACCAACCCATTTTGTGACACTGTACGCCGCGGTACGGAGACCGGGCGACCAGACTCGACAGGAAAGGTACACCGAAAACATGATTAGCCAAATGGGCTCACCACAAACACCGAAATACACATGGATAGGAACACGTAAACATAACGGAAAGAACAGACATGACTCAGGCGCTGTGTTTCAACATGCTCAGGTAAATAGCCAATGCTGGCGCTTACGAATGCCGCCTTAATTTCGGGGGCGGAAATTGGGCCTTACTCACCCCCCCCCCCTCCTCCTGCACCCGAGCAGCGCCCGTGGCGATGACGACACATACCCCCCCCCCCCCCTCCTTCACATAGGCTCAAGTGTCGGATACATGCTCTCTCACACAAGTGGCGACGACATCCGCCTCTGATAGGTGACACGCGCACCCCCCCCCCCCCCCTCTCGAGGAGTGTCTGCTCACGGTCCGGGGTAACCTTTGACCCTGGCAGTCGGGGTCATTGGGTCATGATACACCGGCCGGGTAAGACCTTAGCCACCATACATTGAGGGTCAGCGGGGCACCATGGGTCATTGGGAAGGGTCAGTGAGTGAGTGAGTGAGTGAGTGAGGTGAGTGAGGTGAGTGAGTGAGTTGAGATGGAGAGAGGCATAGACTTTCAGACATTTGTTGACACTGTCACGCAGGCTGTCATATGTAAAGGTAACTTCCGCCAGACCGATAGCTCCGACAGGAAAGTCCATCAGATAGGTCAAGTAAAGTCTCCCAGATAGACCACTAATGCCCTGCCGATTAGTGAAGTCAGTAAGCCATTAACGGATTAGCCGATAGGGCCAGTGAGCTGTCGAAAGGCGTGATACCGTATCAGGGGGGATTAGTGAGCGGGATCTACCAGGTGATACCGTATCATGGGATTAGTGAGCGGGCTCTATACAGGTGATACCGTATCATGGTATTAGTGAGCGCCTGTGATACCGTATCTGGGAACTCAGTAGTGGCTCAGGGGGTCGATGACACGACTAGCGCCCACCGTATCAGGTCAGGTCGGGAGGAACAGACTTCCGACCCGTCTCAAAACTGCGATGAGGAGGGCAGGATCACATTACGGGTCACATTACGGGTAGCAATGCAGGTCAGGATCGGGGTAACAATACGGGTCATATTGAAGGCCATCGAACTTTTGTCACATTTCAGACCGCATTGCCATGTGACACATATGTATCAAATATCAACATCTTCGATAGTACGGGGAATATTTTATGACCTGAATATAATTTTGAGCAAGATCGAACGTTTAACGATTTGGAGTAGAAACTAGCGAATGTTGTGATAACTGACATTATCGCACATCGTCCCAGCACAGTAGCCGCCAAAAACGAACTCAGAAGCCAACTCCACTCGCCAATGGTACAAAGCCACTGACTGAAGAACAGACTTGTCATTCTCCGCAGATTACGTCAAGTACCCCCGATTACTCTCCCATTACCTACACCAGAGTGCCCTTATCCGGTATATCTGTGCTAACCTCAAAAAGCGGCGTTAGGCGGCGGTCCAAGGTCGGGTTATCTTAGCTCCATCTCCAGTACTGATACCGTACCGGTGAGTGGTTCTATGACGTCATTGGATCAGATCAGCCACTGGGCGGCCGTTCAGCCGGCCGGAATGGTTAGGATTTGGTGAGGTTTGTCTGTCAGAAGCTGAAGGTGCGGCTGGGCAGCTGGGGTGTTGAGCCGGCCGGAATGGTTAGGATTTGGTGAGGGCTGTCTGTAAGAAGCTGGCGATACGGCCGGCGAGCCGGGGTGTGACCGGTGGAATGAGACGAGAGGCGCGGTCCGTCTCTGAACGGGTGACAGTACAGGCCCGGGCCATAACGGTAGCTGAGTTTTACCGGTCCGTCAGTACCCCCACAGGGGGGGGGGGGGCAGGGAACCGGCTGACCCTGACAGAGAAAAGCAGCGGCCCCGCGAGTCCCTCCTTTAGTTCCCCACACAGAAAACGGTCACACATCACGGCAGACTGAACCAAGCTCTGCTACACCCCGTTACACCGACAAGAAGTAACTGCAGACTGGCCAGGGCAGCCGTCCACAATCACATATATAAACCGTTTCCGGGCGACGCAGACCGCCCTCACTGCTCCAAACGATAGCCAGTTCCCTAGGCTGGATTTACACTGGTGCAGGGGCCAGGTGACACCCGAACCAGGCCCAGATCACGGAACTAGACTAAGTACGCTGGATTCACTTTACTATCAATAACCCAGCGCTGGATAATTCTAGACTTGCTGGCATTACCCGTCATAGGCGGCGGAACAGGTGGGGGGGGCACCGTGGCCCCCTTGATTTTGCCATTTTAACATTAGCCCTATGGGCGTTGCATGGAAAGAATGGGACGGCAAAAGTCGGCAGTGCCCCCCCCCCCTCTAATTGAAGGAGTTCCGTCACTACTGTTACCCGTAATGCTAGCATTCACAGTTAGTGGCAGTCACGGTGAGCCCATGTCCCATCCCCCCCCCCCCCCGGGGGCCGTACGTCCGAGTTTATTTGGATACCAATGCTTGGCCGGGGTGGTCAGGAGACGTCATCTCAGCGTCCAGACGGGCAGCGCTGTGGGGTTGCTGGTCGGCTAAACCGTGCCGCACGGAGGGGGGAGGGGGTCAGCGGCCCGCCAAACTGGACCGTGTGAACTGTACACAGACTTCACACAGTGTATACATAGACGGCATTGAATAGTACGCTGGATTCACCAGTTGCGCTTTGGAACCGTGTGTGTGTGTGTGTGTGTGTCGAAGGGTAGCCTGGTTCAAAAATAATTCAAGATGGTCGAAGGCGGAATGAAATGTGTCAAGTACCTTATTTTCTTCTTTAACTTCCTATTTGTGATCTCTGGCATCGCGCTGGTCACGCTGGGCGCCGTCATCAGGGGCTACTACGACAAGTACCTCGACTTCCTCGGCGATGGCGTCGTGGTCGCGCCCATTCCGCTGATCACCGTGGGCGTCGTCATCTTCTTTGTGGCGTTCCTGGGCTGCTGCGGCGCCATCCGGGAGAGCTACTGCATGACGATGACGTTTGCCGTGCTGCTGACACTCAGCTTCATCCTGGAGCTGGCGGCCGGCATCACGGCCTACCTGCTGCGGGACGACATCCGCACCACGCTCCACACAAACATGCCGGCGACTCTGCAGAACTACGGCCAGGACGACTACGACGGCGTTACCAGGACCTGGGACGCTGTGCAGATGGCGCTGGACTGCTGCGGTACCTCCAACTACACCAACTGGGCCGACACCGCGTACGGCTCCCACGGGGACCGCGTGCCCGACACGTGCTGCCGGATCTTCTCGGTCGGGTGCGGCGCCGGCGTGGCCGCCCTGCCGGAGTCTGACGCGGCGCGGACCATCCACACGGCCGGCTGCCTGTACAAGCTGCAGGAGGAGATGAAGGAGAACATGGCGGTCGACGGAGGTGCCGTCGGAGGTGCCGTCGGAGGTGCCGTCGGAGGTGCCGGCGGAGGTGTGGCCTTCCTGCAGATTCTGGGCGTCATCCTGGCCTGCTGTCTCAGCAAGAGCATCAAGAAGGAGAATGAGACCGTGTAGCTGGCGAAGCTGCCGTCTGAGGGCTTCGCGCCGCTCGCCGGCCGCTGCTGCCGTCTGCGGGAGCTGCTGCCGTCTGCGGGCGCTGCGCACCGCGCTGCTCGGGGGCCACCGTTAAACAGCACGTCTATCTTTGTAGCGTCTGTCTCTGCCGCCTGTCTTTGTCTGTCGGTCTGCCTGAATCTCCGCTGTACCATACTCTCCGCCGAGCGATCTGATGTCTGGATCGGTCTCCTCGCGCCTGACCTCGCCCCCTCGGATCTGTACGGACCGTGTTTAGAACGTGTTAGCGACACAGCCGTTCCTAGCGTAGAAGCCAGCCGCTCGCGGTCGCTCGCCCGCGCGTGCTCCGCCGTTGGGGACCGTTGTCTGTTGGAGCTGTTTCTGGATGTCGCGCGCGGACCGCGTTGGGCCGGGGGTGCTCCGTATCGCGCCCAGCGGGCGTCTGCTGTTGCTTTCACGCTGGGTCTTTTGACGCCTTTTTGGGGTGTGTTGTGTCGCGCGCGCAAACGGACCTGTTCTCTTGCCGTCATCCGCGGGTGTTTCGTATTAGAGATGTCAATCGGATACCGACTTTTTGGTATAGCGATACCAAACCGATACCAACTTGGTATTTGGTAATTCAAACCTCAAGTTTTTGGTATTTTGTTGGTATCATGAATCCTCACTAATGTATAAGAAGCTGTGAATTTGGTAGAAAGTTGGTATTTTCCTGGCATTCCCAAGTTGGTTTGGTTTCGGTATGTTCCCATGGTTTTGCCTTGACCTGAGGTCAAATTTTCAAGTTGACCTTTCAAGGTCAAGTTATAGTTCATTCGATGCGTCTTGACGAGAGGAACACGATGCCGGTAAAAGTAAGCTCGTACAAGGCTTGGGTCAAAAGTTATTGCAGAAAAACTGTTTCCGAAAAAAATCGGCTATTTTTGCAGTTTTTGCCCCCTGCAGGCAAAACCGTTGACGTTAGGTCAAATCTGAGAGAATTACTCAGAAAGGGCGTTAAAAGGGCTATCGAATGCACTTTTCCGCGGCGCTGTAGCTCTATTGGTTCCCGAGTTATGCGTTGGCTTCTTGGAAATTTTCGACATTCGACCTGGAAATCGGCGAAATTTTGCCTTCAATGACCTCTGGTGACCTGACCTTTGACCTGACCAAAAAATTGACCGAAGTGATTTCGTCATTATTTTTGACGCTCTTTCGAACGCCGCCTTCCGCGTATCGCTACGTGGCCCAGGAGCCGAGTTAGAAGGGGGGGGGTGTTCAAACACCCCCCCCCCCCCCAGCAGGGCGTGGAAATCCAGGACCCCCAGCCGGGCGCGGGTTAAATGAGATGCATGACATGATAGCTCGATTGCAGTCAATGACATGTAATATTCACCTCCGCTGCAGGCATTATAGCTGTTCGGTGATGTCGTTGCCACGGCCGAATCCACCGTTACCGATCCCCCACCCCACCCTCCCCTCGCCCGCCGACCGGCCCCGTTTTGGGATGGGCGCTGTCGCTGTGTGTGCAGTGCCATGCTCGGTGCGCCAATAAAACTATAACAAACTCGAAAAAAGTACGCTGGATTCACTTTGCTTTCAACAAACCAGCGCTGGATAATGCTAGACTTGCTGGCATTACCCGTCATAGCGGCGGAACAGGGGGAGGGGGCACCGTGCCCCCCCCCCCCTTGATTTTGCCATTTTAACATTAGCCCTATGGGCGTTGCATGGAAAGAATAGGACCAAAAGTCGGCAGTGTCAGCTAAACCGTGTCGCAGGGGGGGGGGGGGGGTCAGCGGCCCGCCAAACTGGACCGTATTTATACTGCACACAGACCTCACAGAGTGTATAGACGGCACTGGCCGCACAGAATGCATAGTGTGTGTATATAGACTGGCTGTAGTGTATATGCATTCGCGCAGACACGACTCAAATCGCATATAGCAGTGATGGATAACACTGTACCATAGGCGTCGATTTGCATACTTTTGTGGGTGCCCGGGCACCCACAATGCTAAGTTGGCCACCCCCTAAGGTGTTCTGGGCACTTACAACCAAAGTTGGTACTAGCATCACTGGGGCGGCATCACCTAGATCGCTACGAGAGATAGCCGTACAGTTTTTGATCCACACATATTGCCATGGCTTGTGAGTTGTGAGCCTGCCCGGACGCGGGGCGGCTGACGGGCGGAGTTACATCACCATGGCAACGAGCGTCGCTACCAAAACAAACAGCTGTCGCGGGATGGATCCGCCGTCAACATATCGTGGCCACCAGGCCATATAGTCCAGTCTGATATTAATGTGCCAGTTCCGGTCGGTCTATTAGGAGGCAGGAGCTTTCAAGATGTCTCACGGTACACACAAATGTTTAATGCACCCAGTGTATATGGCGTGTCACACGGCATTGAAAAGCCGTGAAGCACCCGAAACCGCGCGAGCGGTAGAAATATAATGTCAGCATTATTTTAGAAGAAATCGAAAACAATGTCGAACATCAGGCAAATACAAACTGACATTTTTCGCCACGAGTTTGGCGTTTCCTCGCCTACATTTTGGCACATCCCCTTCCATTTTGCATACTATGATCTCTATTTCGACATAAGCTCCCTTTCACTTTAGCATATTCTCCCCTTCACTTTGGCGTGTTCTCGCCTTCACTTTGGCGTATTCTCCCCTTCACTTAAGCATATTCTCCCCACCATTTTGACGCCCCCTCTATCTTTGGCATGTTCTCCCCACTATTTTGACGTATTCTCCCCTCTATCTTTGGCATATTCTCCCCACTATGTTGGCATATTCTCACCTCCATCTTGGCGTTTGTCCATCTGGGCACCTCCACCACCATATTGAAGATCTTTTTCTCTTCGTCGGCGTACAGTGGGATATCGTGGAACGGTGAGATCGGGCCGGCGGCGTTACCTGTGGCACCGCGGTCAGATATACGGTGAGACGTCTTACCGCTTGGGATACCAGACACACACGAGGGAAATACTGGGAAATGTTATCGAGGGTTTGGGGAAAAACAGCTGACGCGGTATCGTACCCGTGGGGTATATAACGGTCATGAGTCATGACTCATGTTACCGACATTAAAAAGGCCAGTCCCTACAAGCTTTACGATTTATGCCATTAAAATCGACGAAACATTCTCAACAAGAAAGTCTGGACAATTCCTGGCTGCCACGATTTTAGCCAGGCATCGTCAATGGTGTGCGGTAGACAACATTGAACAATCTCGAGTCCAAGAACCCACACGGAGCAGTACCGACAAAAAGCCAGACGGATCACCACCAGCCGTCCCTGCCCAATCTTACCAATGCCGTAAATAGGATTTGGCAGCACTGGCCGGAGTTAACGGCACTGATATATAAAATATCCTTTTTATTTACACCCAGCTAATCTTGTCCACTGCTTTTGATAGCGTGCATGATTATGAATGTTGCCTGAACGAATGAATAAGTGAATGTGGAATAGTTCTGAATGTTACCAAATGCCGTGAGTGCGCAATGCGCATTCACGGCATTTGGTAAGATTGGGCCGGTTCCGCGTTTAAGCGTGGAGGCGGCCGGTTCCGGCCACCCGAGCCGAGCCCCATAGGAGCCGGTCACATCACAGCGAACTCCAGGCTATTATCCGTTACACGATAGGGCATTGATTATTGATATATCGAGCCGGGATCATATTACGCTGGGGGGAGTCGCCTCGCAACTATTAAGCGTGTATTCGGCGTCTGGAGAATCAAAGATAATTTTCCTAGATCACCGGGACCAATCGGCGTAATGGGATTTGGGCTGACACCTTGCACAATGGACAATGGACATGAATCAGAAGCGAAACAGTAGCAATGTAAAAACATGACTAATTGCATCGTTGGTCCCTGAAATACCAAATATTTACCGGTGATCCCGGAAAATTAGCCCTCATTTTCCAGATGCCGAACACACACTAAGGCAGCGGGTTGAGACGAGGCTGTACGGTACTGGGACATAGCACCATGGGTGTTCGTGACATACGGTCCTATGGGTACGATGCACGAATGGTCACCCTGTATGGATACGGCGGTTGTCACCTACTTTGGGTAGGGTACTTTGTGAATCAGTGGTCATGCCACATGGATAGGTACCAAAGGCGAACGACGGTGTAATACGGTAAAATCGGAAACTTCTGCTCCGATATCGTAATCTAGTCCGATAACGTAACGTGTCTGCAATAAAAAACTTGACCGTTGTTATTACGTCCGGACAGAAGTGGCCCGACGATTACCTGAGGAGCCATGACTTTGCCACGAACACGATGACTCGTCATCAGGTGATCCAAGGGCAGGCCGAGACCCTGAGGGCCGATATGATATTTATCCACTACTGCACCCACTTAGACTCGGAATTGGACAGTGGTGACCGACCCGTGGGCCGTGACAACAGGACACTGGCACTAACACGGGCTCGGAGCCGCAACGTTGTTATTGGAAACGGACCCCGAAGCTGGGGCATGTCGAAACCGGAGCTGGGACAAACTGAAACAGCCGGGGCCGGGACTTCGGAGCGGAACTCCCAGCCGAACGGTCAAACTCCAACCGATTCATCACACTATCACACACGAAGGTAGCCAAAATCACGACTCACCAACTCGGCAACAATTCTGAGCAGGTGACTAAATGCTGAACATGCCATTACACCGGTAAAAATTGTATGCACCATAAAAACAATAGGTAGCTGTACGCGGTTGCAATGGCGTCGCTAGCTCACGAATGTTGGGGGCTCATCAGACTTTGCAGTGATTGTTACGAATGAATTTGAATTATATCATGCATAAATACGACGAAACAATTAGCTGAAAAATGAAAGATTATTTTCTTGATATTTATATTGTGTTGAAGAGCATAGGTCAAGGTTCGTCCGCAAACGCCGGTAGCCGGTGACCGCCCGTGAAAGCCGTCCACTTTACTCACGATAATAGATGCGGTAGTCGTCCGTGTTGGGCGTGCCCCGCTCTTCCAGAGTTACACCAGCCATCGCAGAAAATTTCCGAAACGCTCTCGCCACCAGTGGTTCAGCCCCCAGCACACCAGAGCTGCCCAACACCGGAGTTCCCACGCCGGCTACCGAGCTAAAAGACCGCAGGAGCGATCGCAGCATGGCTCTTCATCCAGGTGGCGACCTTGATACTGGCCAATGCCAGTGAGTACTGAAAAAGCAGTACTTGTTTGCATAATGATAAGGAAAATTCATTGTTTTTCGTTAGATTTTGCTGTTTATTTCAAACTACATTCATCTTAGATAAATTTAAGGAATTTTGTAACAGATAGCGCGCTTTTTGCGATCAATTTGCCATTCAAAAACTAGATTAACAAGTACTAAGCATGAAAAGGTGACCTCCATCTCTAGATAGTAAAATTTGGAGACAGCAACGACGCAGATGCTTCAAAAGATAAACTAAAAACAGATGTACTGCCTGTTCAGCGTATCTCACTGTTCTGCACTCAGAATGCTCGACCAATGAAAATCAGGCATGAGCAATAAGAGAAGTTGAGATGACGTCATACGCTTGGAATCCACACTCGTCATTGGCGAACCGAAAAATATTACATCATCATTGATGACCCATGTTTCGCTAGCAGAAAATAAAGATTGGTTAAATAGCTATGTGCCTCCACGTGAGCTTCGGCCTCATGATTTGCAAATATCAAAGGGTGTTATCAAATAAATGGTCACGCGCCCTAATTCAACAAGAAAATATTCTGTTGGGATGCAACATCGATAGCTGCTGGTGTATTTTGTTAAGCTTTTACATTTAGTTTCGATTGTAATATTCCCTGATCATGGGCAAAAAAGGAAGGGGAAAGAAGGTAAGAAAGCATGAGAAGGAAATTATAAAAATCTAGGAACACTTAAGTTTCCGAGTCCTGATCTCACTAGAAATAGCTACATTCTTGTAAACCATGAATGTATGTCAAGTTATTTCACATATAGGTTATCACTGCGGCGTAACCTCCGTCATTTCAGGGAAAGACGAGGAGGAACAATGAGGCATCCAAAACCCTGGAGCCAGAGGAGCTGAAGCGCGCTGCCCACTCGTTTGTCGTCTCCCGAGGGCGGACCGGGAAATATGTGAGCCAGCTGGTGATGAACTTCAGGAAGGTCATGGAGCCGTTCACAGCGTCACAGCTCAAGGTGGGCCGTGCCACTGCGATAAATACCAGGTGGCATCATGAGAAATTAGGTGTGTCGAGGCAGGCCGACGTCATGGTTCGAACATTTGCGGCAGTGGATTGAGCATTCATGAGATAATATTAGGCTTATAGATATTAAATTTTCATTAAAGTGTTCCTAAATCTTACAAAAAAGTCAAAAAGTAGTACATTTATTTTATATTTAAGTGACTTATCCAGGAAAGGTCCACTATTCACTCCACCTCACCTAAACCCAACACGGTACAGGTTTGCTATTGATTACAGCCTGGGTGGTGCCACCAGTGGATGGCCAGAGTCCTTCAGTGACGCACAGTTTGTTTGTTTGCAATAGTATTTATGAACTTTTGGTATTCAATTAATAGTGAATCAGTATTGTTGTTAATAATTGTTTGCGACACCAGTTTGGTTTATTTAAATGATAGTTTTATCATCTTCTGTGTGAAATGGTATACAGGTATTCAGGTTCAGCATTCTCCATTCTCGAGCTACCTCATGGTGATAACGGACAACTTTGCGTGCTATGACGCAGGCCAAAGGCACAACGGTCCGCGACCTGGCGTCGGTGGCCGGCCCGCTGGGGGTGACCCACCTCTGCCTCTTCACGCGCAGCCAGATCGCTACCTACATGAAGCTGGCCAAGTTTCCTCGCGGACCCACCATAACGTTCCGGTGAGACGGCTGCTCGTGTGAACCACCTGCCCCTGACCCTCTGCCTGTGAGTTGGAGTGAGTTTTGTGAGCTGTTTTCTTGTCATTGTTTTGCAGTTTTATGATGTTTTCTAAAGTACCTACTGATCTTTGTTGAGTACCATCGGTTTCTGCTCAGAGTCGCCGAAAGTGAGTTTGTTTCCTGGCATTCGTTTTTCCGTAAGGTATTACCAAAAGGTACCTCGTTTTCCATATTAATCACTGGGGGTCTCGCTAATGGTGCAGTCTCCCCAATGATGCAGATTGGTCGGAGTGGTTATGGGTAATAAACGCTTATGAGCCACCTGACTTATTGTAGAATTTTACCTTACTTGAACAGCGAGCTGCGGCTCATTGGATATTTCTAAGTTCGACGGTGAGAGTTTCGAGCTTGGTGACAATGAGACAATGTGACTGTTGTGATTTCGTGGTCGCGTTCCTTTCTACCTTCACCCGTGCGTATGCTGATGTGGCTGATGTAATCTACCATTCTTCCCCCAATAAAACTTTCCTTCATTTGACCGCCCTTTTCCTGAATCCTTCGCTTTTAGTTCATGATGTAGCGCTACCATTTCTTCACCGAGCCGACTTCGTTTTGTTTTGATCCGCCCACGGCAGAGTTCTTTCGTCGCCGATACCGTGCGCATTTGCGACCGAGCCTACCGAGTTTTGTCATCGCTAAGCCACCGCAAGTATATAACTACCCGAACAAATATTATTTGCCTTCCCACCTTACAGAGACGATGTTGCATAGCCGTCAGTGTCGTTAGTCCCAGTGTGTTGGCATCGTCTCCAACTGCCCCTGCCGTCAGGGTGCTCGACTACACGCTGTCCCGGGACGTCCTCCATTCGCTGAAGCGGATGGTCACATACAGCAAGCAGTTCCTCCACGGCCCGCTGCTGATCCTCAACAACTTCAGCGGCGCCGAGCAGCACCTCCAGCTGACGGCCACCATGCTGCAGAACATGTTCCCCGTGCTGAACGTCCACAAGGTGACCGCGGCCACACGTACTGCGTACTGGTATACAGCATGCGTGGTGTTCGACGGGCTCACTATATGCACAAGGTGTATAGTATAGGTATATATGACCTGCTGTTATTACGCCTAAAACATGCAGTTATAGCATTAAGAGAGCAAATTTTATCAACTGTCACATTTAGTAGGCCAAACATATGATTTTCCTGTTGAGAATCAAGCTGGACTGATTTTATTCTCCGGGAGCAGGATCAAAATTCACAATTCCAACGTTACCCCCCCCCCCCCCTCCTTTCCCCAGCTGAAACTGAACACGCTCCGGCGGGCGGTGCTGTTCAGCTACAACGCCTCGGACGGCACCATCGACTTCCGCCACTACACGGTAAAGGTGGTGCCGGTCGGCATCTCCAGGGGAGTGAAGAAGCTGGTCACCCGGCCCGCGGTACCCAACATGGGACGGCTTCAGGACATGGCCGACTTTGTGGTGAAGTGAGTCGGGCTGCCGTGGAAGGGAGGTGGTCGGGGTCGGGAAGTGAGACATGGGCTACTCTGTGTCATACATAGACTATAATATAGTAGCCCGTGAGTCAGCGTAAGGCAATGTGTAGCAGAGAGTTAGGTCTAGTAGCCCGTTTAGTCAGTATAAAGCAGTGTCGTGTAGCAGAGGGTTAGATCTATTTGAGTGTATATTTCGTTTGGGGTGTTTCACTACAAGGGATTTTTCAGGTCATATTGCGTTATTTTGTAAGTCCAAGAGACGTCCGAGTTTGGAACCGTGCCATGGGGTGGGATAGCTGAGGCCGAGTGTGAGATAAAGCACAGGTTACAGTAGGTGCGCTATATCGCTCAATATCAATTATACGTGTGGAGGTGTGCATAAAAAGCGGCGAAGACGCATTAACGTGGCTACATGAGCTTGAATGTGAATACGATCGAAATATCTGAGCTGACCTGACCTGATCCCACTGACCCAGGACATGCTACCTGACCTGACCTCTATCTCAGGGCGGGATTTATGGCCTGACCCGACTCGACCGGACCCTCTGTGACCAAGGGCCTGTTACATGTCACTATATTATCAGACCTACCTGACCCTACTTGACCTCCCTGACCTGACCCCGTGTGACCCAGGGCTGGCTATATGTAACTATATTGACCTGACCTGACCCTGTGACCCAGGGCGGGCTACATGTCGGAGTCTGAAGGGGAGGATGACCCCAGCTCTCACGTGGAGCTGGCGCAGCCGGTCCGGTCCAGGGGTAACATGGTGAACGCCCGGTCTGCCATCCGACTCATAGAGCTCGGTCCCAGACTGACCCTGCAGGTAAGAGGGGAAGTAGGTAACAGGTAGTAGGAAACAGAAGCGGGAGAGCTTAATGTGTCAATTAGACTTTATTGTGTGCACGGTGTTCACTTTTGAACGTCACTATTTTTCGTTGATATTGTCTAGTATTTCTCAAGTTATTTTTTGTTTATCTTTCGTTGTTGTTAATCGCCTGTTTCCGCAGTGCGGTAATCAGAATAGGTCAAAGGTATGTAAAACAAACATAGCCACTAATCAGGCTCTGTCCTGCCCAGGACGTTAGTTGTCGTTGTTCGTGTCATCTGCCATGTTCCCTTTGTTACACATGTGATTAAGGCCCAGTCCGGTCTGGTTAAAGACTAGGTGCTGTTCCACAGGGTTTACTGGTGAAGTGCTATAACCGTCCCATGTCGTCCCCCAGGTGATAAAGGCCCAGTCCGGTCTGGTCGGAGGAGAGGTGCTGTTCCATCAGCTGATCACCAAGACAGAGGAGGAGATAGAGGCCACCCGACTGAGGAGAGAGCAGAGAGAGTGAGTGGTCCGGGAGAGAGCAGGGGTGTCCGCGGAACGGCGGTATATCTGACCTCTAGCCGGCAGCGTGTCTGACCTAATGGTTTTAGCAGAGCCGCTGAGCCTCTCGTGTTAGAACCTCTCATATTATATTACCTCTCGTATCGTAACCTCTCGTGTCATAACTTCTTGCGTCGTAACCTCTTATTATAGATTCTAAGTTGTATTACCTCTCGTTTGATAAATTCTCGTCTCGTAACCTCTCGTGTCATAACCTCTTGCATAGTCTCGTATTATAAGTTATAACCTGTCGTTTATTGAACCTCTGACCGGCTGTATTTAATGTGCCCTGCCGAGTTTGACCTCTGACCTGACCTCTGACCCGCCCTTTGACCTCTGACCTCCGACCTCTGACCTGTGCCCTCTGACCCACCCTCTGACCTCTGACCTGTGGCCCGCCCTGTGCCCCTACAGACAGCTGAAGGCCCGCCGGCGCGCCGAGCAGCAGAGCAACGTGGAGCGTAAACAGGCGCTCAAAGAGGAACTGAAACAGAGGGCCATGGATGGTGGGTGGCTGCACCACTGGCGGGGCGCCGAGACACACTGGGACATAGTGAGACTTACTGAGACACTGGAACACACTGAGGGACACTGAGGGACATTGGGACATACTGAGGCATGTTGGAGAGCACTCAGGGGGACACCGAAACATGCCGAGACATATTATTGAAACGCACTGAGGAATAGGGAGACACACTGAGGAACACTGAGACATACTGAGATGACACACTGACTCGGTGTGTGTCAGACACACTGACTCGGTGTGTCTCAGACACACTCAGACCCTCGGTGCATGTCAGACACACTGAGACCCTCGGTTTAACTTTGTGTCGGTCGACAGTGTGCCATAACTCCTGATCGTCAGTCTGTCTGTGCGCTTGGTATTGATGACGATTGTTCAGACATGTTTGCTTTGTTGTAACTTTGTAACGCATATCATGCCGTGAATGTTAGCTACAGAAAAGTAGACCTTTGGTCGCCTCAGAATGTTAACAGCCCGATATTGTTTTCATGTGCGCAAAATCGGATAGATTTTTACGCACATCTTACCTTTGGCACGTTTCAGGATAGGTGTTTTCAATGGGCTCGTTATCCCAGCCGCCTTGTTTGTGATTCTTCTCCAGTAGTTCTGTCGCTGTCGTTTCAGGCATGAAGAGGGCGATGGCAGCGGCCGCCGCCACCAACAGCGGCTCCTCCGACTCTGAGGGAGAACCTGAGGAAGACGCTGCTGCCTCTGACGCTGAGGAAGGCCAGGAAGACGGTCCCGCCGCCGAGACTTCCAAACCCTCCGCTGGGGGAGACAGTGAAGGAAGTGTGACAGAGGAAGGGGAAGAAGATGGAGAAGAAGATGATGATGATGACGCCGAGTGGTATAGGAAGGAGGTGGGACAGGAGCCTGACGAAGGTGAGACGGGCGACGGGTAGGTGGCAGAGGTAGCTGAACATTGTGGGGACGCCAGCCAGGGGGTGAGCCCGCCTGTAATAGAATGTCGGTGGGAGGGGCAGACCAATGTCTCTAGTAGAGGGTTCGTTCTAACAGGACATCCAACCAGGGGGTCCAATCGATCCAGTGCAAAGGTCAGACGAATTGTGTCACTGATGGATGAGTCGTGAATGAACCGATGAGACCCCAGAGGGGGAGTGCGGACGCTGGGCTTTACGATTGCCTGTGCCATGGTCAGAGTGTCTGTATCTTCTCGCCGAGCTATGATCTGACCCTCTGACCGGAGTAAGATCGGACCGTCTGACCAGTGTGAGACCTGTCGGGTGTAGGTACAGGTCTCGCCGGTTTTAGCGGTAGGTTTTGTACCTAGAAAAATAAGTGTACTTCAAGCTATATCTTCGTCGTCTTATGCTTTTAAGTGTTGAAGATGCGATCGACTTGTTGGGTAACAAGCCGGCCATGATCGTGTAAAATGGCTTCATCGTAGATCGATTAGTTTCTGAGATATAACCGGAAATGTAAAAGTGCAAAACCTACCGCTTAATCTCGCGAGACCTGTACATGACTCGCCGTCCGGTGTGGGTTGACGAGAGCCGTTGGCGAGAATGACCCCTGTCCGGTATTCCCACAAGACGTGACACCCGCGCTAACACCGCCCCCGCTCTGTCCCCCAGAGTTCCGCTCTCTGGCCTCCGGCTCCGGGGGCGCGTCCCGCTCCGTCGCCAAACGCTACACCAAGAAACGCCCCGGACCCGGCGAGCCACCACGGGGAGCCAAACGAGGCCGGAGGGAGGAGGATAAAACTAGCGCCGCGGAGCGCTGGAAACCGCGGAACAAACGGGGGAGGCCCATATCGGGGACGAAGGTCCGACGGAAGCAGACAGCCGGCGCGGGAAGGCGGTGATTGGCTGGGAGGGTTGGAACGGGGGCGATGATTGGTTGAGGTGGGTGCGAGGCGGTTTGTGATTGGTGGGTCACACGCAGATGTGCTGCTGGTGACTCGTATGTGCGTTGTGTGTATGCGCGTGACATGGTATGGGAGTAGTGCCCGGACCGACGCCTGGCGATGAACTGCTGTTGCCGACTGGTTGCCGACTGGTTGCCGACTCATAATGTCGTTAATAGCCGACTCTGAGAGCGGATTCTGTTAGTGTTTGCTGGTGCGCGGACAGCTGTGCGCTCTGGATATTCACGTCACCGTTTACAGCACAAAGTAGAGAAACCAGGAGCCACTGCCAGTCGATTATAACATCCTCTCGGAAAACTTGTGCGCTCCTGAATGTAACTAGACTCCCCATCCGCGAAATAAGCGACTGACGAGTCACTTATTCCGCAATTTATTTGATCATCCGTGTCACCATACACCAACAACATCGTATCGTAGATCGTAACGAGCAACACCGCACCAAAATATCGCGCATATCAAGAGTAACATTGTATGAAAATATCATGTAGAACCAATCACATTTCACCGCAATATCATGTATAACCAGTAACAGTGCACCACAATATCGTATATAAGCAGGTAGGTGTTCACCATAACCTCGGGCATGGCCGGCAACAGGTCCCAAAAATATCGGACAACTCCATCTCCCCCCTAGTTTGGTTCCTTTAGAACACAATTAGACTCTGCTCCGCCCAAGGCACAACGCCCGATAAATTAACGTCTAAAAATAGTTCAACCACAGGGCAACTGGCGCCCAAATGCCCAGTCTGAGGGTCGTAGTCCCACTCTACGCCCCGAGTATGCGGTCCAACAGCTGTCCCAGTCCCACTATACAGTCCGACTGTCTGTCCCACTATACAGTCCGACTGTCCCAGTATACAGTCCAACTGTCCCACTATACGGTCCAACTGTCCCAGACCATGTCCCGGTCCGTTCATTGGTCCCATGGCTCCGTCCCTATGGCACCCAGGTAAGGCCGCCCGCTCCCGGCACATACAGACAAACCACTCCCGCCTCAAAGGCACAGACGAACCCCCATACAGTGGGAGCCGGTGAATGCCCTGATGGCGCCGCTGAGCCCACGTCAGCTAGTTGTGCCTCAGTGATCGAGATATTGATGCCGCGGAGGCCACAAAAATACACACCGGAGGGCGCTTCACTAGCGCTTCAGAGCGAGTATCCCGGAAGGAGTCCGCCTGTGGAACGGTGTGATACTATGACCCAAGCGAAGCGTGCGGGATAATGTCCTGTGGCTGAGCCGAACGAACCCCGACAGAGCTCAGAATCAGCCGGAGCTGCCAGTCTTCCACACGGTCAACGAACAGACCAAACAATTACCAAGGAGATAACAAATAAGACCAAACAATTACCAAAGAGATAACAAATAAGACCAAACAATTACCAAGGAGATAACAGATACACAGAGACCTACCGAGCGCCCAGCAATGCCCCCCGCTGCAGTACTTTGGGATTGTCATTGAGCAGGCCACGGGCCGGTTATCCCCTATTGGGTCAGCGCCGGCCTCATTTACCCCCCTGATAGACACGGTATAGACGCAACAAAGGGCTGGGTCACCTAAGACGATCAATACCCACTGCCTAATTCCTTGCAGCCCGTATCAGCGTCCCATATATAGACTGATGGGCTGATCCTAGGCACCCACCTGATACCAGACCCCTTGGGTGGCAATCAGTATCCGCCGTCCGTCCGACATTGCCGATATTATATCGGTGACTGTACTGTTCAGTTTCAGTCCTGATCCGCCGAGAGTACCAGAGGCAGACTGCCCGGTCACTTAGCTCGGACCACTATCCACTCGGTACCCACTGGCCCGACACTGCCCGGTCCCCTGTAACACGGCCCCACCCGGCGGTAGCTGGTCGTGTCTGTCCATTAACCTAACAAGACTCGACGGGCGGCGGTGGTGGCCGTCTGTCTCTCTGTATTACCCGAACATGGCGCGGCAGGTGTCTGCGTTTCGCTGGTTGAGGTTGAACGTGGCCCCGCCCGAGGAGCGGGAGCGTCTCCGGACGCGCCGCAGACGGTGGCGGCTGCCCGGAACCCGCTCCTGTTTACGGACCACCTCCCTAGAAAGGTAGAGGGAGGGACAGTCAGACGCCACACACGGCCCTGGTTACGGACCACCTCCCTGTGAAAGTGAGGTAGAATACGTCATCACTGATTCCACCACCGGGTAGGCGAGATAAGTAACCAATCCATACCAAGGATCATATAACGGTCATAAGCTAAACATCGCATCGGTCTCTCTAAAGGTAGTCTCACCCCAATGCAGCAATGGTGGACTTTTACACCACTTCAGCTTCCATCTCTGCCGTTATCCCCCCCCCCTACACACACACACTAGCACCATCGGTTAGCACCGCAAAGCTCACCGTAGCACCAGTGGTTAGCACCTGACGCACCACCCGTTAGCCCCACGCTAGTTGATAGCTCATCGTAGCACTTGGCGCTAGCACCAGTGGTTAGCACCTGACGCTAGCACCACCCGTTAGCACCTGACACTAGCACCACCCGTTAGCACCACAGTAGCTCTCACCGTAGCACCAGTGGCCGGTGTCCGATCCTGGCGCAGGTTTTCGGTCCGTCAGAGAACTGCATGTCTGTATCAGCTGCCATACTGGCCTCCAGAGCCTGTGTGGACTCTATCCGGGCCCGGACAAACGGCGTGTGGACGGTGGAGAGAGCGCGGAGCACCACAGCAGCCCTGGAGAGAGGGGGAGTCAGCAGGGGGCAGAGCGGGCGGCCCCGCGGGGGGGGGGGGGGTTCTCAACACCCACTGCCGGCCCGCCGCGGCCGGCAGTTCAGTAGGCGACAGAACGCTAAAGGCCTGGCTACACTACGCGTTTTCTGCGCGCGTTTTTTGCCAGTTTGGGTGTTTTGCGTAATATCGTTCTAGAAAAAAGACGATATGACGTTTTTGTGATATTTTTTTATATTAAATTTTAGTTCATATCAGAGTTATTTTATCTTTTGTATATAACTAATGCACAACTAATGTAAAAATTATATTATTTATAACTTTTTTTCTAAAACGATATTACGCAAAAAAACGCAAGCCCGCAAAAACGCACGCAGAAAACGCATAGTGTAGCCAGGCCTTAACGTGCGCACCATTCGCCGATTCAACAGACACTAGACAATCCTTCTCGTCAGAGTAAACTGATTCGCCGTCCGCTGGGCTCTCAGTTACATAATAAGGGCGTGCCCACACACTCACTCGGCTCTCGGCACGCAGATTATCAGCGGGGACCGCGCGGCGTGTCCCGTTACAGTGATCTTTACCTCACACGAACAGGAGTAAGGCACTCAATGAACTACTGGCCTCCGTTGATGAGTCCCTGTTCTAGCAGGCCGTCACTGATCTGGCCTTGGCGCAGCTATAGGACCGCTGACTGAATCATTGATGATTTCAGAGGACCGTCACTGACCTGGCCTTGGCGCAGCTATAGGACCGCTAACTGAACTATTTCTGACATTGACACCTGAACTGACACCGACGCAGCTATCACCTGACCTCACCCACTGACCTCTGCCACCCCCGGCCGACTGACCTGATGTCTGACCTGTGTCACCTGACCCCACTGACCTCTGTCTGCCTCCGGGCGACTGACCTGCAGTAGTTCATCTCTGCCTGCGCGGCCCGGCTCCAGCGCCCCCCACGGACTTGGCCTGACGACCACCCCGACTGACCTGTTGTTCATCTCCGCCTGCGCGGCGCGGTTCTAGCGGCCCTCACTGGCCTCGTCTGGCCGCTATACGACCACCCCCACTGACCTGTTGTTCATCTCCGCCTGGGCGGCGCGGTTCCACAGGGACACCTCCACCCGGCCCGCCAGGTCGAATGAGGTGGCCGCCAGCACGGTCAGGTGAGCCGTCAGACCGTTCTGCAGCGGTACGGCCTGGTCGTGGTCCTGTAGCAACACGGTACCCTGGAAAAGACGGGGTAGACGGGGGGTTAGAGGTACCTCGCGGATATACCCACATGTAGCACGGTACCCTGCGAGAGATAGACAGGGGTTAGAGATACCTCACGGATATACCCACATGTAGCACGGTACCCTGCGAGGGACGGGATAGACAGGGGTTAGAGATACCTCGCGGATATACCCCAGTAGCTGCACATGTGGCACGGTGTAAAATACACAGTTTGTTTGTTGGGACAATACTATCCGGCAGGTCGGACAGGGCACAGACTAGCCTTCAGCCAAGTCTGAAAATCACAGAAATAATTCCAAATAGACAGTCCCAAACTCTCAGAACCAATCTGATGAATTAAGGCAGACCGAACACTTCACACAAATGTCTGAGCTCGTCAGTAATGAAGCTCAGCCCAAACCCGCCACAAACCCGGAGTTCCAAACCAGAGTAGTTGGTACTCCGTTCTCAGAGTAGTTGGTACTCCGTTCTCAGAGTAGTTGGTACTCCGTTCTCAGAGTAGTTGGTACTCCGTCCCGGTCTCAGAGTAGTTGGTACTCCGATCTCAGAGTAGTTGGTACTCCGATCTCAGAGTAGTTGGTACTCCGTTCCGATCTCAGAGTAGTTGGTACTCCGTTCTGGTCTCAGAGTAGTTGGTACTCCGTTCTCAGAGTAGTTGGTACTCCGTTCTCAGAGTAGTTGGTACTCCGTTCTGGTGTTAGAGTAGTTGGTATCCCGTTCTGGTCCCAGAGTAGTTGTTACTCCGTTCTGAGAGTAGTTGGTACTCCGTTCTCAGAGTAGTTGGTACTCCGATCTCAGAGTAGTTGGTACTCCGTTCTGGTGTTAGAGTAGTTGGTATCCCGTTCTGGTCCCAGAGTAGTTGTTACTCCGTTCTGAGAGTAGTTGGTACTCCGTTCCCAGAGTAGTTGTTACTCCGTTCTCAGAGTAGTTGTTACTCCGTTATGGGTGTACTCACGCGCAGTGCGGAGGTGGTCTCGCTGCCGGCGCCGCTCCACAGCAGCCCCATCAGCTCGGTCTGGCTGCCGAACAGGCGCCGGGGCCGCAGCTGCCGCCCCAGCAGCCCCAGCTGCAGGCGCGCGCGGGCGTCCGCCGCGTCATCCGGATCGGGGGAGCCGATCAGACTGGACAGGCCGGCCGCCTGGACCGAGAACTGTGGAACAGAGACCGTACAGGTGACCACCGGGTGGACGCTTCAGCTGTACACAACACACCGGTACACGAGCAGTATAGGAGAGCAGTGAAGAAAACAGCTCAGCGAGACTACCCGCTGCCAAACAGCTGCAGCGATTTAACGACGTGTGTTAAAGTCACAGCCCGATGACATAATGTAGGTTTGTTGATAGTTACCTGGGCGACTGAATACACGTCTCCGACTCAACAGACTAACCCCTCCTCTGACCTGAACACAGGACATCTCCCCAACTCTGTCTCTGTCTCTGTATCTCTCCCCCTCTCTCTCTCTCTCTCTCTCTCTCTCTCTCTCTCTCTCTCTCTCTCTCTCTCTCTCCCCTCTCTCTCTCTCTCTCTCCTCTCTCTCTCTCTCTCTCTCTCTCTCTCCTCTCTCTCTCTCTCTCTCTCTCTCTCTCTCTCTCTCTCTCTCTCTCTCTCCCTCTCTCTCTCTCTCCCTCTCTCTCTCTCTCCCTCTCTCTCTCTCTCCCTCTCTCTCTCTCTCCCTCTCTCTCTCTCTCCCTCTCTCTCTCTCTCCTCTCTCTCTCTCTCCCTCTCTCTCTCTCTCCCTCTCTCTCTCCCTCTCTCTCTCTCTCCCTCTCTCTCTCTCTCCCTCTCTCTCTCTCTCCTCTCTCTCCTCTCTCTCTCTCCCTCTCTCTCTCTCTCCCTCTCTCTCTCTCTCCCTCTCTCTCTCTCTCTCCCTCTCTCTCTCTCTCCCTCTCTCTCTCTCTCTCTCTCTCTCTACCTCCCTCCTCCCCCTCCCCTCACCTGTAACATATCCAGCCGCCGTCCGTCCGCCTCTAGTCTGGCGGTGAACTCGCTCCGCCGCAGTGCGCGGGACCTGCCCGCCTCCAGCAGACTAGTGAACCCGGCCGCCGCGCCTCCCGCCGACCAGAGCTCCCGCTCCAGGGCGGCAGACAGGGCCCCCTGCGCCAGGATGTCGTAGTTGGCCAGGCGGCTGTCGGAGAGGAGCTGACCCAGCGCGCGGCGCAGCGGTTCGTGGCGCGCGGCCGCCGCGCGCAGCCGCTGCAGCAGGTAGGAGCTCTCCTCGGCGGCCGAGCGGTCCTCCAGGCGGGAGAGGAGGAGCCCGGCGTCAGACGGCCGGGGGGAGCGCAGCAGGAGGTCCGCAGAGAGCAGACGACTGGTGACGTCATACCTGGAGACAGTGACGTCATTCACACACACGCAGTCGGTATGGTGGCACTGTCAGTACAGGCGGCAGTAGGTTACTGTCCTTAGACTCGGCTCAGGCGGCAGAGTTGGACTTTAAGATTGGGAGCTCGAAATGCATGCCACTTGCCTTCTGCAATATCATGAGACATTCAGTCTAATTAGAGAAAAGGGGAAGAAACCAGGTGAATCTAGGCTTCACGGGTAGTCAGGTTATGGTCTATGTCAGTATCTAGTCAGTATATGGTCGGCTGATATACAAGTCAGACGGCTCAGCTGACTGAGATACACAGCAGGGGTGGCAGGTCTGGACGGAGCTACTGACTGACACGGACCGGTACCAGCGAGGTCAGGGACTGTATCAGCCCCGTCCCCCCGGTCCTCCCCCCCCCCTCTGACCCTCCCCCGCTCTGACCTCTCGGGTTGACCAAAGAGGGCCTCCAGGTCGGGTCTCAGCGGCCCGGTGACCTCGACTGGCAGCGCCGACAGGGCCCGCAGCGCCTCCGCGCGACACTCGGCTAACGTGTCACCGGACAGAGCCTGTGTGTACACAGAGACACAGTCACTGCACTGCAGCTGTCAGTACGGTATTTGCAAACCGGGATCACTTGTTTGAACCTAGCTACAGCTCGCAGCTCGGGGCCGGCCGGCCGGCAGACCGGCACACGATATCACAGACAACATCTATACCTCCATCAATGTAGCCGAATTCTAGTCACATTTGTCCCTGTCCAAGGTATACATCAGTTGCACCACTGGTACACATCAGTTTCCCAACGTTAGATATCAGTTCCGGCACCGTTACCCGCCAATTGCCCCATTTTTACCCCAGCGTTACCCACCAGTCCCAGTAGCCGTAGACTCTGTCCGTAGGCCACCTTCTATTTAATTACCCCAGTTACCCCCGGTTACCCATCAGTTTGAGTAGCCCGGTAGACTCGGTCATCAGGTTACCCGTAAGTTACCCCAGTCACCCCAGCGTTACCCACCAGTTTGAGTAGTGGTGCGGCAGACGACTCGGTCCGTAGGTTCCCCAGGGCCCTCAGCGAGGGCAGACAGCAGTCGGCCGAGTCATCGCCGACTCCACATGACTCCACCTGAGTCAGCAGCTCGACGGCGAACTCTGTGCACAGCTGTGGGTTATGTAAAGGATTCAGTGTCTGTTAGAACCAGTGGCAGATATCGTGTCAATTACCGGGACTTGTAGTGTCAATTACCGGGACTCTATAGAGGCGGAATAGACAGCGCGGGAGTCGTGCGGTGGAAAACTCAGACAATGACCCCTCAGCAGGCGGGGCGAAGCCGAACACTAACCGCCATAATATGGGCAGACAGAATGTGAGCGAAGACGACTGGAGTCACTCAAACGGAGTACGTAATACGGCTGAACACCAAAAGGACAGAAGAAAGAAAAGAGAATAACAGTGTAGCTAATATGTCTGGATCAAACGAGCGCCGGCTAACCAGGAAATGGTCGGGAAAAGGACACCATCCTGAAACGCCCTGACAAAAGAACACTCTCCCGCACACAGATGGACACAGTAGGGTACTGGGTATCCCCCTAACACGGTCCTGATGGTTCGCACCTGTTCAGCCGTCCCTCCCGTCTGCGTACAGAGGCTGGAGGCCAGCGCCGCCGCCGTGAGGAGGACAGTCTCGTGTAGCTCCGGGGACGGCAGTTTCTGACGGGACTCGGACAGCAGCGCTGAAACAACGCGGCGGGGCGGGCACTGAAACACGGCATACATCGGGACCGGGCACAGGGCGGGCACTGAAACACGGCACACACACCGGGACCAGGCACAGGGCGGGAAAACGCTGGATGAAAACGACTGATTTAACAGATGCATTGGCAAATCATAATGCTGTCGTCTACATTCACTACGGGATGAACAGTGCAGAGATGATTATTGTTCACATAATTTGCAGGATTCACATAATTTGTCTACGAACTGTCGTCGGATGAGAGTGCTAGGATCGTAGGATAACAGTGCCTGTGACAGTGCGTAGGATGGCAGTGTTCAAAGCGCTTCACATGGTATGGTATGGCACAGCATGGGAACTATTGGTGCCAATCGGAATTTCTTTTCTTGGAATTCCAATTTTTGTCCAATTCCAATTTGGAATTTGGACGGAATTCTTAACATTTTTTGGAAATTAATCGGAACACAAGGCCTTTAAAATTTACAATTTTAAAACGGAGGCCCTTAAAACGCTTTTAAACACTTTTAAAATTTACGCAAAAAATGCAAAAATCGTTAAAAATTGGAATAGCCACCGCTTTGGACAAAATTGGAAATTTACTTGGCAATTTCTTGGAATCGGATCGGAATTGGAATTGAAATTTCATGAAATTGGCACCACTAATGGGAACCCTCGCTCTCCGCACACGCCGTACCTCTAACCAGCGGCGAGTCGGGATGTCCCCCGGTGGACAAGGCCACTAAATACCGCTCGTAGAGCGCTATGTCGTCTCCGGACCGGGGCGGCCACCCCAGGGCCTTCTTCACCGCCGAGTGAACGGGTAGGGTGTGCGCGGCGCCACAGAGGTCCAGCAGGGACAGCCTGCGGGTCAGATACGGGTCACACAGAGGTCATAGAGAGGTCACACTGGCGGGGAGAGTCTGGGGGTCAGATACGGGTCATAGAAAGGTCATAGAGAGGTCACACTGGCGGGGACAGGTCACAGGTCATAGAGAGGTCATACAGAGGTCACACTGGCCGGGAGAGTCTGGGGGTCAGATAGAGGTCATAGAGAGGTCATAGGTATAGAGGCCACGCTGGCGGGGAGAGTCTGAGGGTCAGACACGGGTCATACAGAGGTCATATAGAGGTCACACTGGCACGGAGAGTCTGGGGGTCAGATACGGGTCATACAGAGGTCATATAGAGGTCACACTGGCGGGGAGAGTCTGGGGGTCAGATACAGGTCATACAGAGGTCATATAGAGGTCACACTGGCAGGGACAGGTCACAGGTCATAGAGGTCACACTAGCGTGGAGAGTCTGGGGGTCAGATACAGGTCATAAAGAGGTCATATAGAGGTCACACTGGCATGGAGAGTCTGGGGGTCAGATACAGGTCATAGAGAGGTCATCCTGACAGCGACGGTCTAGTGAGGGTGGGAGTCCGGTTAGAACGTCAACAATTGAACAAAGTCAGAGCAGCTCATACATCAGTGAGGATTGATGATTCATAAAAACACAGCAGAATACTGAAAATCTTAGGCTTGAAACAGCAAACACCACTTGGCTGCCGGTCTTGGCACTAATTATCGGTAAGATAAGTTCATACCCTAGGGTTTATATGTGGCATCTCAAACACAGGTCGCTCAGCAGACCGACAGAGGTGGTCCGGCTATCAGTGAGCGGTATATACAGTCGACCCCGCGGTCAGTCCCACCTGATGTCTGCGTTCCGTTTGTCCCGCAGCACCTCCAACACCTGCGTCTCCGTGGCGGCCCTCAGCGCCGGTACTAGCGTCACGGCGCCGGTGGCCGCCGGAAGAGTGGATAAGACCGGCTCGGTGAGACCGGTCCGGAGTCGGGAGACGAGATCCGAGAGCTGCGGGGGGAGGGTGTGTCACTGACACAGCTGACACACTGAGCTGCGGGGGTATCACTGACACACTGAGCTGCGGGGGTGTCACTGACACAGCTGACACAGCTGACACACTGACATACTGAACTGCGGGGGTGTCACTGACACACTGAGCTGCGGGGGTGTCACTGACACACTGAGCTGCGGGGGTGTCACTGACACACTGACACACTGAGCTGTGGGGATTTCACTGACACACTGAGCTGTGGAGGTGTCAGAATGACACACTGACACACTGAGCTGCGGGGGTGACACTGACACACTGAGCTGTGGGGGTGTCAGAATGACACACTGACACACTGAGCTGCGGGGGTGACACTGACACACTGACACAGCTGAATGGGGCGGAGCTAAGACACACATCATACCCAACGACATGTACGAGTCACACATACCCACATGTCGGGAGGGAATCACAGTATAGTCGACTACAGAATGATGTTCCACTTTTCACCGGCATTTATTTGCCTTGAGTGGTAGGCTGTGCCACATCACACGGGCTGAGTTCACAAATTATAGCTTTGTCCCAATGCTCACAATCGACACGCTTAATTGCGTGATAAACGGCACAACTTAGCGCTCCGGTCAACTGATAGCTTCTGAGGAGTGGAACATCATTATGTAGCCGACTACACACGGGAGTCACCCACACGGGAGTCACACACCCACGGGAGTCACACCCACACAGTCACACACCCTCCCGCCCGTCTGGCCGCTCCGTCCCACTGGCCCTCCCGGCTCACCTCTGGACAGGCAGCGTCCCTGTCGCAATGCCTGGCGCCGTCCGCCGGGGCCGCCCGCGACCACAGCCGGGTCTCCCGGGGAGTCCAGCCGAGGGCGGCGGAGTCTGTCAGACGCCGCAGCGCTTCCTGAGCGGACACGGCCGAGACGGCCGGCGCCGAGCGGGTCCGGCCTGAGGCGGGGGTAGACGAGGGTCAGTCGGGGGGAGGGGCGGACTAGGGTCAGTCAGGGGGCGGGGTCAGACTAGGGTCAGTCAGGGGGAGGGTGAGACTAGGGTCAGTCAGGGGGCGGGTCAGACTAGGGTCAGTCAAGGGAGAGGGGCGGGGGTAGACTAGGGTCAGGCCGGGTCTATAGACTCATGGTCCCACCAGCCCACTCTGGACGGTCAGTAGCCTAACAAAGGAGGTTAAACGGAACATACAGATAGAGGTAAATGTGCATGAGCATAACCCAACGACATCATCACCTTCCATAGTAAAACACACGCAGATACGCCAGTATTCAGGCCAGCCCCAGGATACTTCAGCTCAGCCTTCCATCCGCTGGCCACCCGACCCCGTCCAAAGTCCCGCCGTCCCTCCTCTGACCTGAGAGCTGCAACGTCTGCAGGGCCGTCACGGTCGTCCCGTATCCGTCACGGGCCGACACGGCCGGCGTGACGCCGTGACGCTCCTCGGACGTCACCGTCTCCAGCTGACCGGCCGAGAGCGAGTAGCGCGTCACGCGCTCCGACGTTACGGATACGTCCAGAACCTGCGGAGACGGGGGAGGGGAGTCAGTGACGGTACATCAGGGACGATACATCAGAGCCACGGGCACGGGGCGCCGAAAGGATAGGGCGGAACGTTAGTTCTATAGGTCGGGATAACGATATGTCAGTCGGTCATGGAATGACAGGTTACTGGCGCCAGAAAGCCATTAAAGTAGCACCAACATGGAAAAGCTACGATTCAGCACTGCTGCCTGAACATTGTGGTAAAAATCTGACCCTCCTTTCACAATTCATACTTACTTTTCCAAAATTAAGTCATCACAATACAATACAATTAGAAAGTCAATATAGGCCATGCTGAGTCAATTCAATACAAATCAATAAGTCATACTATTTCGCGCTGATCAGCAATTAAAGCAGTGGGCGTTGAGTCTTAATTCACGGAAATTTCCAATCAACCACTGGGTTTCGGATCAAGCATGAGCTGCCTTGTATTGTAGTCTGTCTTAAAAGCGCCGCGCAACAGTGCGGTGGATCCATCAAGCCTGACCGAGGAAGGACCTGCTGTAATTTGAAGTCACCGAACTAATTGACGGTCCTGGGGGAATGGACGAGGATGTCAATAGCTTTGGTAACTAAAATTTAGCAGTCCTTCCACGGTCGGGCTAGACGGATCCCCCGCACTGTTGCGCGGTACTATTAAGACTGACTATACAGTATTATCATTGTACGGTACGTCCAGTACCCGGTATCTGCCATCCCCCGTCCCCCCGCTCCACCAGATTACTCACCGGATGGCCGGCGGTGTATATTGGCGCCGCCTCTGAACACCGCTCCTTGGTCTTCAGCACCCGCTGGGCACCCTCCGAGACGTACGTGACGTCACACTCGCCCGAGGCGTCCGTCTCCCGGTACTGCCGGCGGCCGGGTGTGACGTCATACACCGGTACTGAGCCGGGGGATATACGTGACGTCATACTACATACTCGGTCAACGGATAAAGTCGAAAACTTTGTGAACAATAGTCACCGATGTTTCAGGCAAAAATGTTCAGAGCATTCAGAACAAGTATTATATCGTCCCGAAAAAAAATACATCGAATGTTGGCAGGTTCCCCATTTACACGAGTACATCGTTGAAACTACTTGTAGCGAAAAAAAATGGTAACACTTTGAGACAAACAGCTCACCACACTCCCTTTATGTCTCTCTGTCTCTCTGTCTCTCTGTATCTCTGTCTCTGTCTCTGTCTCTGTCTTTCTCTCCCCCCTCTCCCCCTCTCTCCCTTCCTCCCCCTCTCCCCCCTCTCTCCGTACCTTCCCCTCTTCCCGCACGGTGATCAGTCCGAGCAGGCCTCTGGCCAGTCCGACCTCCTCCTCCGCCCTGCCCTCCGGCGCGTACAGCTGTTTGGCGGCCCCCTCTGCAGTCAGCAGCAGCACCTCCACTGGAGGGATATCGTCCAGACGGGAACTGTGGGCGACAAACCCGTCCGGCTGGGGGGCGCGCCGAGAGCGGACCAGCAGCTGCGGAGACGAGACCTGAGGGTAGAGGGGAGGGGGTCACTGGGGAGTCACTGGGGAGTCACTGGAAGGTCACTGGAGAGTCACTGGAGAGTCACGAGGGGAGTCACTGGGGGTCACTGGGGAGTAACTGGAGGGGTCACTGAGAGTCACTGGGGAGTCGCTGGAAGTCACGTATATGCAAGGCATTCACTGCATGTATGCTATTTCAAGCAGCCTACCAAACTCACCAGATAAGGCAAACCAAACCGGATAAAGCAGCCCGTTTACTTCCATAGTTCTGAGCAATTAGGAGCAGCGGCGAATCATACAGCAGCCCCCTCTCTATATCTTACCGTGATTCTGAGCAGCTGCTGCCGATGGTCAGATATGGCAGCTCTTACCGTGATCCTGAGCAGCTGCTGCCGGTGGTCGGCCGGGTGCTGCCATATGACGGCGCACTGCGCCTCGGCCAGGATCTGGTAGCCCACGTCCCGGACGTCTCTGCCTGCCGCGCGCGGCCGCAGTTCGCTGAGCAGTACAGTGGTGTTGTAGTGGAAACTGTAGGTGACTCCCAGTTCCAGACCGCCGGCCGCCGCTGCCGGGGGGGGGGGGGGGGGGGTCACAGGTCAGCAGGGTGTGACTGGCTGCAGGGAGGTCAGAGGTCAACAGGGTGTGACTGGCTGCCGGGGAGGTCAGAGGTCAGCAGGGTGTGACTGGCTGCAGGGGAGGTCACAGGTCAGCAGGGTGTGACTAGCTGCCGGGAGGTCAGAGGTCAGCAGGGCGTGACTGGCTGCAGGGGAGGTCACAGGTCAGCAGGGGTGTGACTGGCTGCAGGGGAGGGGTCAGAGGTCAGCAGGGGTGTGACTGGCTGCAGGGGAGGGGTCAGAGGTCAGCAGGGTGTGACTGGCTGCAGGGGAGGTCACAGGTCAGCAGGGTGTGACTGGCTGCAGGGGAGGTCACAGGTCAGCAGGGCGTGACTAGCTGCAGGGAGGTCAGAGGTCAGCAGGGTGTCACTAGCTGCAGGGGAGGTCACAGGTCAGCAGGGCGTGACCGAGGTCACAGGTCAGCAGGGTGTGATCGAGGTCAAGCACCGGGACCTGCGTCATGGCACCGTCAGCCGAGTGGCCACCAGAGCCAGCAGCCGTCGTCAAACAGGGCCAGGCTGAGCAGTGAGCAGGATACACAGACATCACTATAGCTGCTGCCGGAGGCCAATCGAAGCGGGCCATTCCAGTCTCCCTATCGACAGTTCAGCGCTGGGCCCCAGCCTCGGACTTAAAATCGGTACCCGACCCGAGTTCAGATATGAAAGGAATGCTCTGAAAAGACCGCACATAAATTACTAGACTCGGGCATTAGGAAAGGACGGGACGAATCTAAGGGAGCGCTTATGAGCTCATGCATCGATTGTCTTGGCGTCATTGTGAACAAACAGACACACGTTGCCTAAAGTCACGCGACCAGGCAGTGTAAATGCCACGTGGAACGCATTCGAAACATCGTTTGCTTTAGATTAGAGCCATGGGACAGAGCCCTGTGTCCGTCTTGGTAACCGGGTGAATCGCAGTCCGAGTGTCACTGAGAACACATCAAAACATGGTCTGCTTCTTTTTTACATCTGTGTCACTGAGCACAGTTCATGGAGCCCGTGTTTACAGCAGTGGGCATCCAAAGCCGACGCTTCTATGTAGATACTGCTGACTGGAGGGCACACATGGACCAATGTTTACCAGTCGCCGGAACCAAACACAGCCTACGGACTGAATGACCCACAGATCAACCTGCCCACCGACCGACCGAGGGAGGGACGAGGGCAGAGCAGTACGGCGGCGAGCGGCTTTGCAGCCGTACGGCCGTCAAACGACGGACCGTCAATACGGAAACGGACATACGGACATACGGGCGGACGGACGGACGTACGGACGGACGGTACAGTCGGTGGGAGAGAGGCCCACAGAAAGAGCCGATGTTTGGCACTCAGCAGATGGCAATCGGCGGTAAAGAGGAAAGGAAGCAGTGCCAGCATCTGTCAATGTAGACAGCGTAAAACAGCTGCCCCAGCAATCTTCTAGATGATTCGGGCCGCAGCGGGCGATATTATTGAGGCAGCAGTCACTAAAGACCAAACCAAGCTAGCTTTCACGAGTTATTGTGAACCACATCAATCTCCAGAGAGAAGAGCAATCACAGACATCCTAGGCGCGCGCCTCCCGGTACGGATTAAAGCTTCCTGCCAGACTAGTTTTTACCGCCCGTGCCGCCACTGTGTGTATGTATGTGTGTGAGTGTACACGGGTCATTGACCTAACCGGACTGCCCCCCTGCCGGAAGGGGGGGGGGAGTGATTCATCACTGAAAGACTGGTCCGCAGTTGCCGGGGCCGACGCTCTCACAGCGGCAGCGGGGAATGGAACACAGTCGGGAGGCGTGTGGTGACGTCATAGACATTCTACTGATGACGCAGTGGTGGGGCTAGCCGTCGGAGGTTACTACAGCCGGCCAGAGACGGTGATTGGTCAATCTTCAACACCATTACCGACCTGGACAACTACAACTGCAGAAAACGAGCATGGCAGGCGCAAATCGCGGTGTTACTAGAATACAATTCAAACAGCAACACTGTCCGATAAGTATAGACTGCCTAACAGCCACCGAAATGCATGTCCCAGGACCCACCCGTAACTAACGTCAGTCACAGTGAATGGTCAATGATTACTATTAGTTTGACACTAGTCACAGAGGATGGTACGATCTAAGACTAGGTGCGTCCAGCGGTAAATAAAGGAGCTCTGTACAAACTTGGCTGCAGACCGATGGTACCCGAGGCCCAAGAGTCTCGCTACACTGTTTGTGTATTCAGGCTTTAAGCCTGAAGCGGACACTTTCCGCAGTCAGGAAATCGCATGCGAAAGCCCATTCAAATAATTCTGCCCGTATTAATCGCATGCGGGAGGTGAGCGCGATTGATGCGAGGGCGCTTTCATATATTTGAATGGGCTCTCGCATGCGATTTCCTGACTGCGGAAAGAGTCTGTTTCAGGCTTTAGGATGGCTCCACCACCAAATCGGTAAAGGATTGACTAATGACAGACACGATTCTCAAACACGGTTGGACACCACTGCCCAATATTAGACTGGTCTCCAGCAGACACCGGTCTGTTTCAGAGCACGCCCTCACCGAGCAGTGACTAGTGAGTGAGCCGCACCCTATTTATCCAGATACACCGCTCCAACAGCCCCGCTGCCTAGGGTATAGTATCTAGTTTACCCGGCGAGCCAGTCCCGTCCTCCGCGACTCACCGGTGGGCGCCTGACAGTGGATCTCTGCGGACAGACGGACGGACGGACGGTCACACACCGAACACATGGCGGCGGCGGCGACCCGCACAGCCCGGTACAGGTGAAGATGAAGTCCGAGTGGCACGGAGGCTGGTAGGTAGCAGGCTGGTAGGTTTAGGGTGGTAGGATGAAGGTTAGTAGGTAGGTTAGAAGCAAGGTTAGGTCAGGTTATATTATGTTTTTTATCTACTCGGACTTCATCTTCACATTTACCGACGTCCCAAGCAGTCGGGCCAAAGCAGGCAGCACAACCCGCTACATAAGCATGGATCTGTGAGCCGCAGCTCATTCAGAACATGGACAAAGCAGACGATGTGGCCACAGGCCCTGCAAGGGAACCCAGGACAGCACGCGCCACATACGGTGTGATGATGGGCCAGCACGGGACTGTCAACGGGTGGGTGGCGTAACCCAAGCCATTCTATACTGAGCCTTGCAATCCCACAAAAGCATGGCCAGTGACTCTGGTGAGTTCCACAGCGACCTTGAGCCGTCATTGTAATGTAGGTGCTTGGAGCAGATCAGGTCATCAAATTCATCTTATCTAAGGGAATAAATAGGCACCCATATCAAGAGCACAAGCACCCTGATTCAGCTATAAGTGGCAAAGTTAGGTACCAAAAACAGCAAACACAGCATACCTACTTACCAAACACAGCAAACACAGCATACCTACTTACCAAACACAGCAAACACAGCCAACTTACCAAAAACAGCAAACACAGCATACCTACTTACCAAACACAGCAAACACAGCCAACTTACCAAACACAGCAAACACAGCCAACTTACCAAACACAGCAAAGAGCACAACAACCAGGAAGAGATGCCTGTCCATTGTGATTTTACTGACCTGTAAATCAGAGCAAGAACGTGTTAAAGGGACCCTCCCACCTTCAAAAAAGTTAATGAATTGGCACGATAGTGATGTCGCTCGGTTCAGAAAGAGCGAAAACGAATATCTACCAAATTTCATCGAAAAATATTCACCGGTTTTCAAGATATTAGACTTTTACTTTTGTTTACTTTTTGGGCTCTCCGCTGTTCCTAGCGACTTTATTTGAAAGTGCGGCATTTGTTGCGCGCAAAGCAGCATATACCACCGCGTGCTACCAAACGTTTTAGTAAAAGATTTAAAAATCGTTAGATCTCCGCTGACGTCACAAATTCTAAGGGGGCATACCAATGCACTAGCCCCTTAGAATCCGAAAACTGCAAGTTTGAAATTCCATATCTCCGAATTAAAGCATTTGTCGATGTTGTGAGTGCCCAAACCGGTATTTGCAGGCCATGGCCACCAATTTGGCTATCTCAACTCAAAACTAATGTTAAGGTGGGAGTGTCCCTTTAAGCACTGATTGATAAAAAATATTATCAGGATGGCAAAATCCTTTCAACACGTCACATGCCATCCATTTATATCCTTGCATAAATAAATAGCCTAATTGACAACTTGTATGTTTGTAGGTTGGTGGGTTGTAGGTTTGTAGGTTGTAGGCCTTAGGTTGGTAGGTAGTAGCCAGTAGGTAAGGTTAGATCCGGGCCCTGTTTCACCGGTGATAGCAGCAAGCTGCTATCACGTTTCGCGAGCTGACGTCATGTCGTGACGCCATACTGTTGACGTAATGGGTAGTTACGGCGCACGATTGCCGCGACCTTGGCGGCAGCATTAAGTGACGTATTAGCCTAAAAGTAAGAGTTTACGCAGTCATGATAGTATATATATTTTTGATATATATTTTTCCAATATGATGTATTTAAAAGAAGTTGGGTTTAGGAAAAATTTGGACATTAACTTCGAACATTTAGCTGATGACGTAAAACAATATTATGGCAATCGTGCGCCAGAATTGCCCCTTACGTCAGCAGTATGACGTCATCACATTACGTCAGCTCGCGCAATTTGATAGCAGCGTGCTGCTATAACCGGTGAAACAGGGCCCAGGTATGTCTTATTCCGTAATATCTACTTTTTGATGAAGACTTCTAAAAGCAAAATTTGGGTAATTATCTCAAGAGCTGACAAGTCTAGGGACTTCTCGTAAAAGGCAGCACCTGAGATGCCTGCTATAATAGTATAGTATTTTTAGTATTTTTATGGGTTTTTATGGGTATTCCGAGATGGAATGTTTGGAAACCATTTCAAATGATGTACTTACTTGTACTTGTTGGGTTAGGGCGCATAGTTCAAATGATGTCTTTTAGCATTCAGTAGCATTTGAAAGCTAATTAGCTACATTGCAAACGCTAGGTCATGCCACGAACTTGCACCAAAAATTCAGAATGTTCTGACTGCGGGAGCAGGAGCAATTTGTAAAGGAGACCAAAATCTTTTGGACCAGATGGCCGGCTGACTCTACAGTAGTGACGAGGAACCCAGGCAGGTGAGTCTGAGACAATAAAACAAAAAGGATCCTATTTACAACACTGTTGTAACACCAAACACGGGTATCAGATGTTCTTATTGCGTTATGTACAGAACACTTGAAGCTGTGAATCATGATTTCTACATGAGCAAATAAAATGGAATTTATCCAACTTTACCCAAAATATACCTAGATAATTAATCAAGCTACCAAAATAACTCAAACTGAGGGAACAAAACACTGCCCAAAGCCCGCACCCTCACGGAAAATGACTCAATCGATTCCAGTGTGGCCAAATTGGCGATGTTGTGGGGAAAGACACTGATGGATTCAATAATGACTACACCAATGTATATAGATACCGGTCACACGGGTCACAAAAAATACACAAATTATCCACAGCACATCCACACGTGTCCGGACAAAATTTCGTCTGACATTTTTTCGTCGGACAGTTTTTCGTCCGCAGATTTTCGTCCGACTTTTTTTCGTCTCGCATTTTTTCGTCTGTACATTTTTTCGTCTGTGCATTTTTTCGTCTGTACATTTTTTCGTCTGTACATTTTTTCGTCCGGACATTTTTTCGTTCGTATATTTTTTCGTCTGTACATATTTTCGTCCGGACATTTTTTCGTTCAATAAATTTTACGTCTGTGCACCCAAGGTTGAGTGAAAACATACTACAATGCTATTCAACTGTGAGGCAAATGACATCATAATAATACTCGGGGCGAAGCAGTGCAGTGCCGAAAGGGGCTCCGCCACAGGGGGGGTCGCGGGGGTCCGGACCCCCTCAATAATTTACCTGGGGGGTACAGTACCCCCCAATACTCCAGATACCTATAAGCTTGTTTTCGCGTAAAAATGACTAAATCATTCACTATATGCATTTTGAGTGTGTTGACAGTCGTATAGCTAAGGAACTGAAGATCTAGAAATGTAGGGAACCCTTATAATGTCATAGCAGACGAAGTGCTCGACAGTGACACTCACCGGTCTACGTGGGAGTGTCATCATTTCGCCATTTTTGTTATCACTATGAATGCATTTAAGATTGAGATGGCTAGGATTAGCTAGGTATGCTAGAATTTGGCTATAATTTTGCGAGGGGGTCCAGCTTGTAGGGCACCTCATTGACACACCTGCCCTAAGAGAGCTTCAAAACGATCTGAGAATTCTCTTTCAATGTGAGGTAATCCTATAGTGTCGGGGATCCATGCCGGTCCTTCAGAGCACCATACTAGTCTAAGCATCCTCACACCGTTCTGAGGTAATTTGCAATATATCTGCACAGGGCTCTAAACGCAGGTTCGTAGAGGTAGGACGTTCACAAGTCACAATCCCAACAGCAAGTGGAGCATTTTGCTATCCATTTTCAGGTCAGGATAGGTCACACTCATCACAGAGACTGAATTGAATCTGAATGTCAAATTGTCAGTCTCTAAAAGGACTCTATGTTGCTATATGAGGGCAAGGCTTTCAAATCCTTACAATAACTGCTAAAGTCCTGAGCTTTCCTTTAGGTAAGTACGGCCTAGGAGAGCTCTACACTGGCTTTAGAGACTACGTAGATACCTGAGGGCCTATTTAGGTCCCCCAAGCCCATGCCAGTCACTGAGAGTCCAATGCGTTCACTGATGGCCAATACCTTCCGCCTTTGAAGCGCGCAACACTGGCCTCTACTCCTCAAGAACGTCAATTTTAGAGGCCGCCACGTCGGTGTCAATAGGGTTCTGCTCCTCGGTTTTCGAGTCCTTATACAATCTGAACCTTTGTTTTGCAGTTTAAAGCAAACCTCTTCCAATAAAATTGTTAAGTTTCTTTGTACTCAAGAAAAACAGCAATTTTCGTCGATTTCGGGCGCTGCGGTGGGGGGGGTGGCATCCTGGTAATTTCTGGCGTTGCGGTGGCATCCCCTTGAATGCCACCCTGGATCCGCCAGTGATGTTTTGTGTTTTGGGTCGGACCCCCCCAATCCCAAAACCGTGGCGGAGCCCCTGCCGAAGGCAATGCCTTAGGAGAGATTACAGGCAATGGTAAGTCAAATATTTTTAGGTTAAGTGGTTGTGTATCTGGCTTCAGGCCGAAGGCCTGAAGCCTGATGCATAACCACTTAACCTAAAAATATTTGACTTACCATTGCTTGCAATCTATTCATGCAAGTAACTTTTTCCTTATCCCCCGGTAGGCAAACATCAGTAGGTAAGGTTAGGTAAGGTTAGGTTAGGTTAGGTTAGGCTAGGTTAGGTTAGGTTACGTTGAAATTGTAGACGAAAAAATGTCCGGACGAAAAAACGCACAGACGAAAAAATATACGAACGAAAAAATGTCCGGACGAAAAAATGTACAGACGAAAAAATGTACAGACGAAAAAATGCACAGACGAAAAAATGTACAGACGAAAAAATGCGAGACGAAAAAAAGTCGGACGAAAATCTGCGGACGAAAAATTGTCCGACGAAAATCTGCTGGACGAAAAACCGTCATGGAATCCATCCACACAGTGCCGGTGTAATAGAAAAAATGAAAGATGCAAGGGTTCCTGTAAATGGGCGGGGAAAATCCTAACCCATAAAAATATGACGTCAAAAATATCAAGGACAGGGAGACAAGATTCGCGTTTACATAGCATTTTTGACGAGGCTCTAGCTCGTTTATTTGGCGATAATGTCGATGCAGTGATCTTCAAATAATGAGAGGGGATTATTTTGTAAATTGTTTAGCACCATTGACATCTTTTGCAACATCACGGACGGAGATATAGCTTGCAACAAACCCTATATAAACGCGTCTAAGGAGTGACACGTGTAGTTTCACAAGCAAGACACAAGAAAAGAAAATGCATCTTTATATCCTTGAGAATTTTACTGTCCGATAAATGGAACAAACATTATCAATATATGCTTTCGTTTTTTGTAAGCATTTCGTTTCAGTCGCCTACAAGTGGGAAGGCCTACATTGCATAAACATAAAGACATAGGGGAAAGTGGGGTAAGACGGGCACCTTAACTTTGGAGCCATTTTTCGGCCGGTTAGAAACATCATAGAAACGGGAAACTGAGTGAAAACCTTTTACAGACATTTTACTTCCATTTGCCAGAAGATGAGACTTAGACCTGACTCAACAAATAAACTGCAGCTATTTTTGCAAAACCTTGCAAAAACCCATCTTACCCCACTCCATGGGGTAAGACGGTCACATGGGTAGGGCAAGACGGCCAGCTTCTTTCACCGACCAGCACAGCTCGCAGCAAATGCCCGAGATTAGCCGCATTGATACAGTCGCTCGTTGGTCTCAAGTGCTTCGGAAATGGCAGTATACGAGATTCGTGCAGAAGGCGTATACTCGTATATAGGCCCTAGTTCAGAAGCCATGTAGAGCCGTTTTTCACATTCATTATTCGAGAATAAACTGTGCCGAAGGAATATTGCTAACATGTCTGTGAGTATCGGAATCGAACATATTCTTATCAGAAATGCTTCTTTTTTCCTACAGCAACAAAA